ATGGTTGGAATTTTAATTAAGAAACAGTATAAAAATGAAGATGTGCAGAGACTTGCAAAGAGAGAAGCAGTATAGTGTAGCAGTTACCAGCTCCAGGCTCAGATGCACCACTGATTCTACCTGTTTGTCTTTGCCTGTCAGTCTGCAGCTTCAAGCATGTTCTAATAACTGGTAATGATACTGGTTTATGAATTCCTTCTTCAGATGCTGGCTCTGCCACTCATTGGCTAGGAGACTTTAGTCAGATGACTTAGTCCCCCTCTGTAACTCAGCTGCAAAACAGGGAAAATCCTGATCCCTGGCTCACTGAGTTGTTTTTTAAAAGACTTTATTTTTTATTTGGCTGCACAGCACGGTGTGTGGGACCTTAGTTCCCCTATCAGGGATCGAACCTGGGCCCTGGCAGCCAAAGCTCAGAGTCCTAACCACTGGACCATCAGGGGATTGCCTCACTGAGTTATTTTGAAGACTGAACAAGGGGGAGGGTTGGATGAAAAAGGGCATAGCACAGTGTTTGGCATGCAATAAGCACTAGATTAATGTTTCAATATGAGGAGCACAGATTTGGGAGTCAGTCTCCCTCGGATGTGAACCCCAGCTCAGCTCTTCTCCTCCGGGCTGTGTGATTTTGGCCAAGCCAGTTACTTCTCTGAGTCTCATTTCTTCCTGGGAAAAACAAAGATCAAAATATCTCCCTTGCAGAGCTGTTGTGAGGATTAAATGACAAGACATGTGTTGCGGCCCAGCATGGCCCATGTGGGAATTTCCTTTTCTCACCCCTTGACTTTCAGCAGTACTGGTCTTGCCAGCTCCCAGGCTGGAGTCGATCCCACTGTCCATTTGCGTGGCTTTTGCACCTGGACTGCCAAGTGTGACTGGTGAAAGTCAACAGAGCCATGTGAATGGCTCCTCTCAAATGGCAAATCTGTATTGGGAAACATCAGTGAGGCTCTTCTGCTCCCAGAGAGTCCTTCCACCCCTCTCTAGGGCACTTCCTCCTGTGTTTCACAATGGCAGGTCCAAACTTTTTCCACCACTCACTCATGCTACTCATCCCCCTGCCTCAGCCTCAGAAGGTGACCTCGACTCTTTCAACTGACAGAGGTCATCAATACGAGCACATTTCCCTCTATCTCCCAACATCTCTGATTTTAACCTCCATCCTTTCCTCTCTCCTATCCTCCCAACTCAAAGGTTGGCATGTCCCTCTCCTTCCCAAGACTTTATTTTCTTAATTATTTAAAAATTTTTGGCTGCACTGGGTCTTCGTTGCTGCGCATGGGCTTTCTCTAGTTGTGGCGAGCAGGCTTCTCATTGAGGTGGCTTAGCCTGTCGCAGACCACGGGCTCTCTAGAGCATGCGGACTTCAGTAGTTGCGGCTCATGGGTTCTAGACCATGGGCTCAGTACTTGTGGCTCAGGGGCTTAGTTACTCTGTGGCACGTGGGATCTTCTCCGACCAGGGATCGAACCAGTGTCCCCCTGAATTGGCAGGTGGATTTTTAACCCCTGGACCACAAGGGAAGTGCCTTTCAAAGGCTTTAGAAGTTACTCCATCAACTCCATCCCCCATTTCCATGATCTGCCCCATCTCAGCCAAGAAAAATGTGCTCAAGCACCCCAATCTCCCCAAAGTCTGACAGTAACCCTGCTGCCTCTGTTTAATTCATTCACTCATCCACTCACTTAAGCAGCATTTCCTTTGTGCTTACTATGTGTCAGGCGCTGGAGGTACAGGATTAATAGAAACAGTCTTTGCCCTCGGAGTCTTCCAAGTCCAGAGGGAGAACCAGATGGCAAGATGACAAGTGAGATGTGAAGGTGGACCTGTGTTTGATACAGAGACTGACTGGGTGTGCAATGAGGAGGAAGGAGGAGCCCTAGGATGGCCCTCAGCTTTCTGGTCTGAGCAAATGCCTGGATGGGAATGCTATTTACTGAGATACGAGACAAAGGAATATGGAAGCAGGAGCTTGGTGGGGTGGAGTGGGGTGAAGAGATGGTGTGTTCTGTTCGGGGTATGGTGAGTTGGAGGGGCTACTGGGACATCCCAGTAAAGATTTCCAACAAATCTTCAGCTTAAGGAAGAGAAGGGCCAGAACTTGAATTAGAGATTTGAGAATCATTGACATATGGGAGTTGGAGTCCTTAACAGATACAGAGTGCCCTGTGCTATAAGTAACAGATTAATTACACTGTCATGACGTTTGTTCTCTCGCATCTTAGAGGGCAGTTCCAGGGGCAGCACTGGAAGGCAGCACAATGATGGCATCATTGACCCCAGTGCTTTCTGCAGTTCCTCTCTGCCATACTCAGGGGATCAATTTCCTTCTCAGACTTGTGCCTTATAACCTCATTCAAAGGCAAGCATGAAGCTTTCTTCCTGCAGGGAGGGAATCCTTTATCTTTAACCTACTTCCACTAGCCTTCGGGTCTCCCTGGCCATAATCAAGTCACTTAGACGAAGGAGAATGGGATGCCATGACAGGCTGAAGCCTTTGTCTCCTTGGCCGTGGAAAGGCCCTCCTTCCCAGAGAACCGTGCTACCTTAAGTCTGAATGAAACCAAGTAAGGAGGAAAGGACAGATTCATTTCAACTCTCGTCCCCTTCCTGGCTGGCCTGGCAGGGTTGACCTGCAGTTCAAGTAGAGACATGAGGAGCTTGGGCACTTGAGTCAAATATATCTGGGTTTTGTCCTAGGGCCAGGCTGTGTGACTTCATATAAGTTATTTGACTTCTCTCTGCCTGAGTGTCCTCATCTGAGGAATGGGGACTTCTTACATTGAGGAATCTGAGGACTCTTACATTGTTGTACCTGTTGGCTGTTGAGATGACAAAATGAAATAATGATCATGAACTGCTTAGCCCAGTGCCCAGCACATAGTAGGTGCTCAAAAAAAAAAAAAAACAACTAGCCATTGACTTTCGGGGGGGACCACCTCCTCCTTGAAACTGCCCACCCCTTGAGTTTGCCTGGTGGTCCGGTGGCTGGGATTCCACGCTCCAAATGCAGAGGGCCCAGGTTTGATCCCTGGTGAGGGAACTAGATTTCATGAGTGACAACTAAAGACCCCACATGCTGCAACTACGACTGGGCACAGCCAAATAAATAAATGTTTAAAAAGGATATTCTTGTAAAAAATTTCCCACTCCTTGTCCTCTAGAACTCCTCTTTCTGTGAAAGATTGCCCCTCTTCTTCTCCTTCCCATTCCCTCCCCATCACAAAGTTGGCTCCTGTGTCCTTACTACTCACTAGGCCTTATCTCAGGGCTTCAACCATCCACTCCTCTCCAGGCTGAGCTCATCAAACTTGCTCTCCTGCTGCCCCTTCTTTGTGAGATCCTGGACACTCCTCCTGCAGGTTCTACAGAATTGTAGGCTCATCCTGGGGCCCAGTGTTAGGGTTCCCACTCTCATACCAGCACCTTATACCCACGCCCCTTTGCATGACATTCTACCTTGAAGACATTAGAGCCGCTCTAATGACTTCAAACTGTCGTGCTGGAGAACACTCTTGAGAGTCCCTTGGATGGCAAGGAGATCAAACCAGTCCATCCTAAAGGAGCTCAGTCCTGGATATTCATTGGAAGGACTGATGCCAAAGCTCCAATACTATGGCCACCTGGTGCGAAGAACTGACTCATTTGAAAAGCCCCTGATGCTGGGAAAGATTGAGGGAGGAGAAGTGGGTGATAGAGGATGAGATGGTTGGATGGTATCACTGACTCAATGGACATGAGTTTGAGCAAACTCTGGGAGATAGTGAAGGACAAGGAAGCCTGATGGGCTGCAGTGCATGGAATCGCAAAGAGTCAGACTTGACTTTGCCACTGAACAACAACAGTGACTTCTACCAGCCAACATGAAAGACGGCCCAGAAGGATGTGGAGAAAAATTTAAATTCGTGCAGAAAGCAGAGGGGAACATTTGGATAATGTCTAAGTGGGTAAATAGTGCTTTGGGGTACTACATGACAGTTATTTGTGTCTGTCTCCCTTCCTAGCCTGTGAGTTTCCCAGGGCAGGAAAAAGGATTACTCATTTATCTCTCACCTTGTTGCCTGATGTATAGATTGTTACTGTTGTTTAGTGGCTCAGTGTCTGATGAATGAATAAGATTCGTGGCTTTGTCACTTACTTCCCAAATCACTTTGAATAAGGTCCTTTCCTTCTTAAACCTCAGTGTCAAAATCTATAAAATGAGGAAACAGACTCTGTATCAAGGGAAGGAACCCTTGTATTAAAATGGAATTAGGGACTTCCCTGGAGGTCCAGTGGTTAAGACTCAATGTTTCCACTGCAAGGAGTATGGGTTCGATCCTAGGTTGAGGAACTAAGATCCTACAAGCAATCCAGAAAGAAAAAAAAAAGAAAAAAAAATGGAATTAGTGACCAAGAGATGGAGGGATAGTCTAGCCCTGGTTGGGGACATCGCAGGGTCTTTAGCAACATGCTGTGCTCGGGGGTAGGACTTATCTGGGGAATTTCCCAGGACTCCAGAGGAAGGGATGGGCTTATTTAGGTCAGTGAGAGGGCACTGGCTGTTAACCCCACAAATCCCAGTGGCCCCCTCACTCCTTACCAGCCTGCTGTAGAAGGAGACTAATTTTTGGAGGAAACTCTGGGTACCAGTCCTGCCCCAAGCCTGCCCACGAACAAGCTGTTTTTGTTTACGACCCCCATCCCAAGGGAACAGCGACGGCTCATCCTTACATGTGATCTGAGAGGGTTGGTCTTTCAGGCCTGGAGGAAACTCAAGCTTCGCCAGCCACTTGGCACCGGAATGCTCAGCTGGTCTCCTCTTGGGGCTCATGTGACCAGGGCCCAGCTATAAATATCAGAGGGGCCTCAGACCAAGGCAGAATTTGGGCGCCAGGAGAGGAAGGCAAAGAGACTCCGGGCGGGTATTCTGTGACAAAGACAAGACCCCCAGGTCTGCTTAGAACAAGACAGGTGAAGGAGACAGCCAGGTGGGTCCCCAGGTCTGTCCCTAGGACAATATGGATTATAAGTCGAGCCTGATCCAGGATGGAAACCCCATGGAGAACCTGGAGAAGCAGCTGATCTGCCCCATCTGCCTGGAGATGTTTACCAAGCCGGTGGTCATCTTGCCGTGCCAGCACAACCTCTGCCGGAAGTGTGCCAACGACATATTCCAGGTCAGTGCTGGGCCTGGCATAGAACTGGGGCCCTGGGCAGCTACTCAGTCTTCCTGTGATGAAAGCTAAAAGAAAACTCTTCTCTTAGTCCGGAACCCTTCCAAACTGGGCTTGTTTTTTCCCCCTCTGAAATGAACCCCTGCCGAAGTCTCTGGAAGGGGTCGATGGGGCTGGGGAGGTGGCTCCGGCTGACCCATTCCTTCACCATGACGCACTTGTCCCCTCCCCACCCTGCCTGCAGCTACCCCACCCCTGTCCTAAGCACCACAGTTGACTCTCCAATCAGGAGTCAAATGCCTCAAGTGATAAGTGGGAGAGGCAGACAGAAAGGAGAGAGAAACCAGACCCCAGGGGCTGGAGCCAGCTCCGCGGTGGCAGGGGGCCCAGATCTTTAGGAGGAGGGTGCCTGAGAGGCACTGGACAGTACAGGCATCTTCCCCTTGAAACTGTTTCCTATAATGGGGGGCAGGAGGGGCTTCATCTCCTTAAGAAAAGAATGGGAGTGGGTGTCCATCCTGGCTGGGAGACAGGCCTCAATGTTCCCCAGAAGCACTTTACAGAATGGTCTCTATTTTTTCTTTAAAGTAGCAACTCTAGGAGCTGGCTCTAATTACATGCCCATTTCATGAATGGACAAACCGAGGCTTGGTGAGAAAAGCTTGCTCACCCAAAGTCATTCCGAGAATTACTGTGACTTGAGCCTTGGTCTGCTGACCTCCAAACCTGATGATTCCTTAGTTTCTTCTCAGGTACTCCCTGTGTAAGTGGGCTGGCTCTCTCATATTAGGAAAGAAAGTGAAGTCGCTCTGTTGTGTCCGACTCTTTGCGATGCTGTGGATGGTAGCCTGCCAGGCTCCTCCATCCATGGGATTTTCCAGGCAAGAATACTGGAGTGGGTTGCCATTTCCTTCTCCAGGGGAATCTTCCCGACTCAGGGGTCGAACCTGGGTCTTCCACACTGCAGGCGGACTGTTTACCGTCTGAGCCAAGGGGAAGCTTTAAGTCCTGTGGTTTGATGAGAATGGTGGTGGTGATCAAGGGGGGAGACAGTCGGAGGCCAGAAAGGGAAGGAGCCGAGGAGGGAGCCCAGGCCTCACCTCCGCCCCTGTCGCCAGCAGGCTGCCAATCCCTACTGGACCGGCCGGGTTGGCTCCGCGGCCATGTCTGGAGGCCGTTTCCGCTGCCCCTCCTGCCGCCACGAGGTGATCATGGACCGCCACGGAGTGTACGGCCTGCAGCGGAATCTGCTAGTGGAGAACATCATTGACATCTACAAACAGGAGTGCTCCAGGTCAGTGCTCCCTCCACAGGGAGGCCATCCCCCTGCCTCGGCCCATCCCCGGAGTCCAGCGCTTCAGGGCCCCATGCTCCTTCACCTGCTCTGGATCCAGTCCCCTAGCTGGAAGAGCTATGCCAGTTAGTCCAGAGAGCTGTCTCCCTTAGGCATGAACAGAGGCTCATCTTATCCCCCAGCCCTGGCTCTCAGCATCATCCAGTGAATGGCAGAGGACCCAGACATCAGGCTGTCCTCCTGAAAGATACTGAGACTAAAATCAGGGGACAGATGAGATGTGAGAGGGAGCATGAGGGAGAGGGAGCCACTGGGGCCAGTTAAGTGGCCCTGATGAGCAGAGAAAGCATCCAGTGAGAACAAAGCCAGTTTCTCTATAGTGATAACAACAGTGCCAAACACCAGGAATGCTGTTGCTTCACAGTGGTTCTATGGATTAGCATGGCTTTCATCATCCCTGTTTCATGGAGGAGGAAGTTGAGGCTCAAAGAGGTAAAATCACTTACCCAGAGTTTCACAGCTGAGGAGAATTGCTGGGACCCAGCCCAGCGCCTGAACTGAACTTAACTGAGCCCAGCCCATCTAGCTCTAAGTCCCCGTTTGTGAAATAGCCACTCATTCTTGGGCAGAATTTGTGCCTGGTGGAGGTTGTGCCGTGTTGGGGAGAGATACAGCTACAAAGGAGATCTTTACTGATCCACATGTCCTGACAAGAGGCTGCTGACCTCATGGCCCTTGCAGTCCCAAACCCTCACCGAATACATGCTTGCAGGCAGTGTCCTGTGCCCCAAAAAGTTGATAGACTAGTCCTTGTTTGAGAAAGCTCTAACCAGAGAACTGTCTGCTACTCTGACTCTGTTACTCAAGCACTGTAGGGTCTTGGGTGAGTCTCTGGGCCTCTATTTCCTCTGTCTCCAGAAATGGACAGTACGATTTGTTATTGTGACTATCAAATAGGATGTTGATGGGAAGTGTTAAAGATGGCAAGTATTTATTCAGCATCCACTGTGTGCAGCACTGCACTAAGTATTTTCCATGCATTATCCCCATTTTAATCCTCACAGTAATTCTATAAGCCATTTTTACCCTCCTGAGAAAGTGGAGACTCAGAGGTTTGTCTGAGGCCACTCAGCTAGGAAGTGGTGAAGCTGAGAGGGGGCCTGTCTGACTGACTCCATGGTGAACATTCTTAACTGCTATTGCCTCTCATGTTGCTGGAGATCAACACTACAAAAATGCAATTATGTTGTTGATCATAAAATCAATATTGCACCAAAATAATAGCCCACCCAGAGTCGACCTAGGAAGAGGAAGTTATGTTTGAACCCTTCCAGGCCTTTCCCCAGAACTGAGTGATGACGATAGTTATTGAGGGTCTTCTCCATGCCAGGCACTGCACATTCATCACAGAGAACTCCTGCCATGATCCCAGTAGCTCAGGGGTGAAACCAGGGCTCAGAGAGGTGAAATCACTTGTCCAAGGTCACCATGAGTAAGCGGCAGAACAGTGGGGACTTGAACCCTGATGCTGGTGCCTGGGGTTAGGAGGATGGGCATCTGGGATGATGAGGAACACAGGCACCAGCCCGCAGGATCTTGCCTCACCTCTGCACCTGCTGTCACCCCAGAGCTGCCTTCCCAGGGGGCAGAGACAGGTGGCAAAGGGAGAGCCCTGCCAGCATGGGGGACCCTGGGCTAAATCATGCAAAAAAACAAGTCTGAAAAGGAGCTTATTTAAGATCTTGAGGGGACAGTAATGCCCAGGGTGTGCTCAGTCATGTGGGGCTGTTTGGAGGTGAGGCAGTGACATGACGGCGGATAGTCACCATTTATGACCTGCCCACCATGGCTCAGTAGTAAAGAATCCATTTGTCAATGTGGGAGACACAGGGGATATGGGTTCAATCCCTGTGTTGGGAGGGTCCCCTGGAGAAGGAAATGGCAACCCACTCGTGTATTCTTGACTGGAGAAATCCACGGACAGCGGAGCCTGATGGGCTGCAGTCCCCGGGGTTGCCAGGAGTCAGAGATGACTAAGTGACTAAGCGCACACGCACTGCTGTGTTAGGGGCTGGCAAGTCAGACGTGGTGTAGACACGCTGTTGACTCTAGATGAGTGTCGAGTTAGCTGGGGCGGTAAAACCTAGACTCAAAAAATTGCATCTCAGGGAGGAAGTGACCCTGAGGGAACCATAGATAAATGCCAGAGCCCCTAAGAGGAGAGAACAAAGGGAGAAAGTCATCCTGAGCGTGTGTTTGGGAAGAAAGAGAAAGAAGCAACTCTGGATCCTGGAAAGACTCTCAGGTTGGAAATTAAGGCTTGTTCTGGGCCATTGGATGACCCTGGGCTGCCTCTGCTTTAGCTGAGTGACTTGGGGCACACATACCACATCCTTCTCAGAGCCTTGGTACACCTTCATGGCATGCTTACTGATGTATTCTTTCCACCTGTATTTAATCACCACCTTCTCCATGTCAGGCACTGTACACTGCAGATTTAGGGCTGAAGACAACAGGCAAGTTTCCCTGCTTCGACAGAGGTTACAGTCTGGTGGATTAAATATAGAATTCAGTGAGGCCATGAATATAACTTGCTTTGTTGGAAGCCCAACCTGCTGTAACCAAGAGCCTGGGGACTATAATTAGAACAAATGAACCTTAACCTCCCCTGCCCTGACTTGCTGGGCGACCTTGGGCAAGTCCATTCACCTTTCTGGGACCCACTTTCCTCTCTTCCAGAATGTCTCAAAATGACTCTGGGATCCTACAACTTTTTCTAGGTCCTGCACTGGCCAGGCCTGGGCTGACTCCATCACTGGAGTTTGAATCCTAGTCTTGGTGTCATTGGCTTCCCTGGTTCTGTGTCCTCAGAGAATGAAAAGAAAAGGATTCAGGACAGCCAACCTCTGAGAGCTCGGGTCATAGATATGGGGTGGGGTGGGGGGCTCCCAGGGCTGCAGGGGAAGACAGGGACTTGAGACCCCACAATGTGACTGATGATTCTTCTCCACTTCAGTCGGCCACTGCAGAAGGGCAGCCACCCCATGTGCAAGGAGCATGAAGATGAGAAAATCAACATCTACTGCCTCACGTGCGAGGTGCCCACGTGCTCCATGTGCAAGGTGTTCGGAGCCCACAAGGCCTGCGAGGTGGCCCCGCTGCAAAGTGTCTTCCAGGGACAGAAGGTACTGGCCTGAGCGACTCCCACTCCCAGCCCAAGCCCGCTGGACAGATGATTCAGGATGCGGATTTGATCCCTGTAGATCTGCTGAGCCGGCCTTTCAGGAATAGTCCCCCTGGAGGGACGTCCCAGGCCGCAGGGAGAACCGCTCTTGCCTTCCTTGGGGAGATGGCTGAGCTCATGAGTTATACTTAGAGCCGCTTGAGGGCACCTGGGTGCGGCCCCAAGGGAGAGACCAGATCCCAGGGCCAGGTCACCCGGGTCCTCCCAGGCCATGACTTCTATACCCCAGTGTGGCTTGGGCCCCTGCTGCCTCTTCCTATGCTGGTCACCCCTCCCCAGATCCCCCTGCAGCGAGAGGCAGGCTCCTCCCTGGGTCCCTGGGCCCGTGAGAGCCCCACCGCCCTGTCCATGCAGTGTGCTGTGGCTTCCCGTCCTAAAGGGCTTCCCAGGTGACTCAGTGGTAAAGAATTCACCTACCAATGCAGGAGACACAGATTCAATCTCTGGGCTGGGAAGATCCCCTGGAGAAGGGAATGGCAACCCACTCCAGTATTCTTGCCTGGGAAATCCCATGGACAGAGGAGCCTTGTGGGTTACAGTCCTTAGGATCGCAGAAGAGTCGGACATGACTTAGTGACTAAGGAACAGCAATCCTTTTCTGTACTCCCTCCCCTCGTTCCTCTCTTCTCTTGATCTTTCTCTTCTAGAATTCTCCAACCTATTTTTTTTTTTTTCTGGATCCCTTCATTAGAAACAAGCCCCTCCTTGACCAGCACATTGCTCTGTGTTTGGGGCAGCTCACTTCTCTCTGCGCCTCCACTGATATGAGGGATGCAGTGTTCTCTGGTGTTCTCTGCTCTGAACCTGAGCTGCACCCCAGAAAGAGGCTCTTTCTAGCAGAGAGGGAAGTGAGGGTGCTGTGTTGCTGCCACTCCCAAGGGGGTGGCCCTGAGACTATTTTTGTCTCTCCTCTCCTGTTCCCCCCGCTCCCGCCCATCTAGACTGAGCTGAGTAACTGTATCTCCATGCTGGTGGCAGGGAACGACCGTGTGCAGACCATCATCACTCAGTTGGAGGACTCCTGTCGAGTGACCAAGGTGAGGGGAAGCATAGCTGGGCCTAGGGGTTCAAAGCCTCCCAGGGCAACCTGGTCTCTGGGGTGGCTTCCCCGTGGAGCCTGGAGCCTGGAGTGTTCACACAGGGATGGCTGGGGAGTGGATGACTAATCCATTCAGCCATTCACTCACAAATGCTTCTTGAGGATAGCTGGGTACCAAGTTCTGCCAAAGATGCTGAGGATGGGGTGGCGAGGAAGACAGACCAGGTCCCTGACTCAGGCAGTGTCCCCCCCAACCATTCCCAGCATTTATTCAGGGAACTAGTAGTTCTAAGAGCATTGTTCTCCAGTGTGCTGTAGACTAAAGCTTCTCAGACTTTAATGGGAAACTTTAAATCACCCTGAGGTTTTGTTAGAATTCAAGTTCTGATTCAGTAGGTCTAGAAGGAGGCATGAGATTGTGCTTTTCTAACAAGCTCCCAGGATTGCCCAAGTTGCTTGTCCATGGACCACCCTCTGAGGAGCAAGACTGGAGAGGCAGAGGACTCTTTTCTATTTCTGCAAAAGCATCCATGATTTTTCATCTCCCCTTGAGGTGGGGACCTGGGAATGACATGGTGGGTGGTGGGAGTGATCACTGTATTTCTGATGGATAGAGCTGTGTGAGTATAGGTTCAGAGAAGGAAGAAGGATGTTGTTATTATCCGTGAGGGGCCTCCAGTCTAATGATATGCTACTATTATACTCAGTTTACAGGTAAGGAAACTAAAATGTAGCATCAGTGTTGGACAGCGGGGAGCCTCAATGTGGAGGCCACTAGTGGGGGAGCTGCTTCTCCATGTCTCTGAGGACCAAATGATGCAGTTTCCCAAATCTGGTCTTGGTTCTAAAGTGGAGAAAGGGTGTGACTGGGGGGCACACAGGTGGCCCACATATGTCATCCCGCCTGGCCCTACAGTCTCCACTTTTGAGGACCTTAAAGGTATAGCTTTCTCTACGACACCAGCCTCCAAACGTTGAAGCAAACCCTAGCAAATGCTTTCTTCTGGCTAAGGCTTTGTTTCGTGTTCTGCAAAATGGGGGTGCGGTAAATCTCTCCCAGCTCTAGACTCTTCATTCCTAGCACACCCATCCCAGGAAGGAAGGGTGGGGGATAGGAAGGAGGACCCACAGGACGTGACTCGGAGATCTCTGTGCCCAGGAGAACAGTCACCAGGTGAAAGAAGAACTGAGCCAGAAGTTTGATGCGCTGTACGCCATCCTGGACGAGAAGAAGAGTGAGCTGCTGCAGAGGATCACGCGGGAGCAGGAGGAGAAGCTCGGCTTCCTCGAGGCCCTCATCCAGCAGTACCGGGAGCAACTGGACAAGTCCACCAAGCTGGTGGAGACAGCCATCCAGTCTCTGGACGAGCCTGGTGGCGCCATCTTCCTCTTGGTGAGCAGTCCTGGGAGGGTGTGGGCACTTCACCTTAGCGGCTCCAAGGTGCAAGTTGGGCTCCATCACTGATCACCAAAGGCTATGCCTTTGGGGAAGTTATGTCAAGCTCCTTCATATGACTCAATCTCCTCATCTCTATGTGCTGTGCAGTGGTTAGTTTCTCAGTCATGTCCAACTCTTTGCGACCCCATGGACTGCAGCCCGCCAGGCTCTTCTGTCCATGGGGATTCTCCAGGTGAGAATACTGGAGTGGATTGCCACGCCCTCCTCCAGGGGATTTTCACAACCCAGGGATTGAACCCAGGCCTCCTGCTTTGCAGGTGGATTCTTTACCATCTGAGTTCCCTGGTGGCTCAGAGGGTAAAGTGTCTGCCTGCAATGCAGGAGACCCAGGTTCTATTCCTGGGTCAGGAAGATGCCCTGGAGAAGGAAATGGCAATCCACTCTGGTATTCTTGCCGGTAAAATCCCATGGATGGAGAAGCTTGATAGGCTTATAGTCCATGGGATCGCAAAGAGTCAGACAGGACTGAGCGACTTCACTTTCTTTACCATCTGAGCCACCAGGGAGACCCAAGAATATTGGAGTGGGTAGCCTATCCTTTTTCCAGGGGAACTTCCCGACTCAGGAATTGAGCTAGAGTCTCCTGCATTGCAGGATGATTCTTTACCAGCTGAGCTACCCAGGAAGCCCCTATCTGCGTAGTGAGCATGTAAAAATTCCTCCCTCCTTTCCTCTCAACTGACTTTATGGGGATCAAATAAAAGGATGCTTGTGAAATGGCTTTGCAAGTTGCAAAATACAGTGCCCATGTGGAGACTATTAACTGAGCCCCTGTTGTAGGCCAGTCACTGAGATGGAGAGACAGGTGAAAGAGACAGCCCTACCCTAGAAGAGCTTGTTGGAGGAAACATGAAGGGATCAGCTGTAAGATTTTGTAAGGAAGAGTTAAGTTCAATAAAAATTTCCTAAGCACATACTGTGGGCCGGGCTTTGTGCTTAGAATATGATTCTCATCTTGGGGATTTCCGTGTTTGAGTGCTTAGATGAGTACTCCTAGAATCCAAGCTTCCTGCCACAACAGAAGGGTCCTAGGATAATGACCGAGGCCCGCGAAGACCATGGACAGAGGGAAAATCCAAGTTCTGTTTGGCTGAAGCTGATGACCAGGTCAAAGCTGGGCAAGGTGATGGCACCAAGTGCGCATCTGCAGTGCTGGGTCCCCGGTTTTGCTGATTTCCTGGGGCTCCCCTTTCTGCAGTTCTAACCCTTTGCTCTTTCTCTCCCCCCACAGAGTGCCAAGCAGCTCATCAGAAGGTCAGTGTCTCCCCAGGGCTATGAGTCAAGGCTCCAGTTCCCCTCAGGGCCTCTGACATGTTTAGAAGGCCTCCTTTGCATTAGTTCTGCTGGGAGGGTCTTCCCCCGTGCTAGCTTTCCTAGCCTTTGCATCCCTGCTGTCTTAGATATCTATTCTGCTTGTGACCCGAGGGAAAACACTCCATCCTCCAGGGAAGCCTCTGGGTACAAGGTCTGGGTGTGGACCCAAGCATGTGCCCTGGTGTAAGTTGGAGCTAAAATGCCTCCTTCCTTCTCTGGGACCAGAGATCTCACTGTGCCCCTCCTTGCTTTTCTCTCTGCCCCACAGCATTGTGGAAGCTTCCAAGGGTTGCCAGCTGGGGAAGATAGAGCAGGGCTTTGAAAACATGGACTACTTTACTTTGGACTTAGAGCACATAGCTGACACCCTGAGGACCATCGACTTTGGGACAGGTAAGGGGTTATTTCCCCTGGAAGTCAACCTCCCTCCCACTGAGCCCCACGTGGAGGCAGATACACTGCCAAACATGCCCAGATATCCATCAAACTGGTACAGTTAACTTCTGGATGAGCCCAGCTCAATAAATTATATATGGATCTGCTATAGGGAGGAACTTGGGGTGATAGAAATAGCAAGGCAACTTGGAATCAGGCAATTCAGTTCAGTTCAGTCACTCAGTCGTGTCTGACTCTTTGCAACCCCATGGACTGCAGCACACCAGGCTTCCCTGACCATCACCAAATCCCAGAGCTTGCTCAAACTCACATCCATCAAGTTGGTGATGCCATCCAACCAACTCATCCTTTGTCAGCCCCTTCTCCCCCTATCTTCAGTCTTTCCCAGCATCAGGGTCTTTTCCAATGAGTCAGTTCTTTGCGACAGGTGGCCAAAGTATTGGAGTTTCAGCTTCAGCATCAGTCCTTCCAATGAATATTCAGGGTGGATTTCCTTTAGGATGGACTGGTTGGATCTCCTTGCAGTCCAAGGGACTCTCAAGAGTCTCCTCCAGCACCACAGTTCAAAAGCATCAATTCTTCGGCACTCAACCTTCTTTATGGTCCAACTCTCACATCCATACATGACTACTAGAAAAACCATAGCTTTGACTAGACAGACCTTTGTTGGTAAAGTAATGTCTCTGCTTTTTAATATGCTGTCTAGGTTTATCATAGCTTTTCTTCCAAGGAGCAAGCGTCTTTTAACTTCATAAAATCAGGCAAACCTAAGATCAAATCTGGTTCTGCTACTTCTATTGTTTTTTTAAGTTTATTTTTGACTGCACGGGGCCTTCGTTGCTGTGTGCGGGTTTTCTCTAGTTGTAGTGCATGGACTTTTCTTGTTTTGGAGCACAGGCTCTAGGGCATGCTGGCTTCAGTAGTTGAGGTGTACAGGCTTAGTTATCCTCCCGCAGGTGGACTCTTTCCAGACCAGGAATGGAAGCAGCGTTCCATGCATTGGCAGGGGGATTCTTAACCACCCAGTTCTGCCATTTCTTATCTTGTGTGGCATTTTGATGGTTCCCTCCACCTCTCTGAGCTTCATTTCCTTACTTTAAACTTAGGTTACAAACAGGCCTACTGATAATAACCATCGAAAGATGCTGTGCAACAAATAAGACACTGATTCAGAGGCCTCTGTAAGGTACTAGACATATACTAGTTATTGCCTAAATATAGTCTTAGCTTCAGTTCCCTACTGCTATAACCTTGGATACTCAGGCACCTTAATTTTTCTATTTTCTGTCCTCGCTTCTGTTTGTGATTACTTTTCCACAGAATACCTATAATAATTGTAACAATATAGCCATAACAATAATAAAGAAAAAATAATAAGAAAGCATGAGGAACCAGATGGAGAACAAAGATGTTGATAGTTTGCTCAAGGTTTCACAGCTGAAAGGTAGCTAGTTAGCAACAAAGAGAAGGAGGGCAGTTCTAGTTCTGTGGAATGTTGCCTTTATGTGAGACGTGATGCTCCAGTGGTCTGCGGAGAGTAAGAAAGAAGGGTAAGGGTTGTGTAGGGGCAGGGAAGAGCTGTGAATCGCTTGCAAGAGAAAGAAAAGCTTCCTGACACCTCCTGCGTCTGCTTGCCTGCAAACTTTCAGAATCTGGAGTGTTAAATCCATTCTCAGAAGCCCAAATATACTCTATTCTTGGGTAAGAACGACATACATCCCAAAGCTGAGGTGTCAATGAAAGGGTTAGTTGCTCAGTTATGTCCGACTCTTTGCGACCCCATGAACTGTAGCCCACTAGGCTCTGCTGTCCATGGGATTATCCCGCAAGAATACTGGAGTGGGTTGCCATTTCCTTCTCCAGGGGATCTTCTCGACCCGGGGATCGAACCTGGGTCTCTGGCACTGCAGACAGATTCTCTACTGTCTCAGCCACCAGGGAAGTTGCCAGTCACCAGGGAGATGTCAATGGACTTGGGTAAATGCATGGCTGTAGATCATTTGGGTTTCCCAGGTGGTGTTAGTGGTAAAGAACTCAGCTGCTAATACAGGAGATGTAAGAGATGCCGGTTCGATCCCTGGGTTGGGAAGATCCCCTGGAGTCACCCTCCCTAAACTAATATATTCAAGAGTGGATCATGGGGAGGGTGGTGGGAGCAGGGTTCAGGATGGGGAACACATATAAATCCATGGCTGATTCATGTCAATGTATGGCAAAAACCACTACAATATTGTAAAGTAATTAGCCTCCAACTAATAAAAATAATTGGGAAAAATAAATAAATAAATAAAAACTTTAAGGGAAACAGAAAAAGAAAAAAGAGTGGATCGTACTATGTGAGCGGTCTGACACTGTGCACACCTGCACTGCCTTCGGTAATCTCCCTGAGCCTCTCCGTGTCCCCACAGGTAAATGGGGAGAGTACCCATGGCTACCATTCATTGAGAACTTTCTGTGTCCTGACCACTGAACCCTGGACATGAAATCTGTTGTCTAATACACCAACTTTAAGAGGTAGCTCTTTTGTCATCTCCGTTTTGTAGTCAAGGCAATAAAACCAAGGAACGGTGGGAGAATGGGTCCACGACCACGTACGACTGAGTCCCTTTGCTGCCTCCCTGAAACTAGCACAGCACTGTTAACTGGCTGTACTCCAACATCAAATAAAAGTTAAAAAAATAAAACCAAGGAAAGGTGAGGGACATGCAGAGGCCACATGGGCAGTAAGTATAGGTTCCACCAAGGGTTGTCTGGGGATTGTATGAGGCGATGCGTGTACAGTCCTTAGCACAAGTTAGAACTTGGCACATAGTAAGTTCTCAGCAAACGCTGCTATTAAGTAGTTAATTGTAATAATGGTTTAAATCACCACACACAAAAAAATTCCTTGGGTTATGCACAGATCCCAGTTGTCAGTTTGGAGGAATTAATTTTTTCAAGCCTTTCCCCAGATACCCTTGACAAATACTCTGTGTCTGTACTGACCCCTTCAGGGCATCCAAAGGCTTAAAGAAGGGGCTTGAGAGAGGGGGCGGGGAAGGGGCCTGTTCCCTGTGAGTAGAGCTTGAAGGCAAGACCCCAGGATGGGAAAGCGAGCACACAGCTTGCACCATAGTCACCATCTGGGCTCAGTTTCAGACATCTAAGGAGTAGATGGCCTCTGAAGGGCTCCCCACCCTGTATCCGTGGCCCTGTAGGCTAAGGAATGCGGAAAAACTGGGCAAGCAGTGTGATCTCAAAGACTGAGCAAATGCCTTCAGGATAAGAACTCTGATTCCTGAGGACCAAGGCATTTCCCCGTATTTTCCCAGGTAACGATGCTCGGTGTGCAGAGGTACACAGTCTGGGTATGCATTCCCAGGGTCCCCTCTGGTCACAGGCAGATCAAGGAAGAGATGCTGCTGCTATTGGAACAAAGGAGGTCTTGAGCTTTCCTGCCTTGGAGCGTGTCAGGGGAGGGAGGAGGGCGGGGAAGGAGGAACAAACCCATCACCTCCTGGGCCCCTGAGGTCACCACATGGCCCTTTGATCCTGACTGGACAGTGAGATACTTTATTTTGGGGGACTCCAAAATCACTGCAGACGGTGATTGCAGCCATGAAATTAAAAGATGCTTGCTCCTTGGAAGAAAAGCTATGACCAACAGCATATTAAAAAGCAGAGATATTACTTTGCCGACACAAGTCCATCTAGTCAAAGCTATGGTTTTTCTAGTAGTCATGTATGGATGTGAGAGTTGGACTCTAAAGAAAGCTAAGCACCAAAGAATTGATGCTTTTGAACTGTGGTGTTGGAGAAAACTCTTGAGAGTCCCTTGGACTGCAAGGAGATCCAACCAGTCAATCCTAAGGGAAATCCACCCTGAATATTCATTGGAAGGACTGATGCTGAAGCTGAAACTCCAATACTCTGGCCACCTGATGTGAAGAACTGACTCATTGGAAAAGACCCTTATGCTGGGAAAGATTGAAGACAGGAGGAGAAGGGGCTGACAGATGGGGAGATGGTTGGATGGCATCATAGACTCGATAGGCATGAGTTTGAGTAAATTCCGGGAGTTGGTGATGAATAGGGAAGCCTGGTGTGCTGCAGTCCATGAGGTTGCAAAGAGTTGGATGTGACTGAGCAACTGAACTGAACTGGGTGTCTCCAGCCTGGATCTCTCTTGAACCTCTCCTCTGAGACACCAGCCCCAACCTAAGGCAATTGTTCTTTGTCACCCACAGATGAGGAAGAGGAGGAGTTCATTGAAGAAGAAGAAGATCATGAAGAGGAAGAGTCCACAGAGGGGAAGGAAGAAGGTGAGATACCCATCTACCTCCACTTATTCATTCATTCAGTGACAACTTGAGATCCCTACTGAGTGACACTGGGATGATGTTTCCGGTCCCCAGTAGGGGTTTTAAACCCTTTTTAAGAGTTTTTAAGGTAAAATTAAAAAGAGATTTTAATTCTTTTTAAAAGAATTTTCCCTTTTCTCTTAGAGAAGTCCCCCCAACTATTCATAATAAAAACTTCTCACTTTACCTCTAAATGACCTTCCTAAACAGAAAGTGACACAGTATAACAGAAGTCATATAGAGCACTCACAAAGCAGGCTTGGCTCAATATTCAAAATTTTTAAAACTAGTTGTCAGCATTTTTTAAATTAGTAGATTTTTTTTTAAAAAAGGAGCTTTTGTTTTTTAAAAGAAGATTTCAATAAAGAATTTGGATTTTCATCTTGTGAAAATTTGGAAAGAGTGAACTATGCTGGGGCTTCCCTGGTGGTTCAGCGGTAGAGAATCCGCCTGTGATGCAGGAGACATGGGTTCGATCCCCGGGTCGGGAAGAGCCCCTGGAGAAGGAAATGGCGACCCACTCCAGTATTCTTGTCTGGATAATCCCATGGACAGCAGAGCCTGGTGGGTTATAGTCCATGAGGTCACAAAAGAGTTGGACATAACTGAGCAACTAACACTTTAATTTTTCAGCCGTTTATAGTTTTTTTTTTTTTGCATTGGATCTGCAATCCATAGCATTCACACAGTTAAATTCTATTTTGATTTTAAAAGGAAGAGGTCAGGCAGGAATTGGGGTTTGATAATTTTTTCCCCACAGCTTGGCAAGTCCTGGTTCCTTCTGAGTTCCCATCTCACCTTGTTTTTCTTTGTCTTTTTCTTTCAGGACACCAGTAAGGAGATGATGAGGGAGAGACCCTCTAGATGCAGAGAGACTGGGGAGGGTGGGGATGGGCCCATCTGCCTTAGTGACAGGCCCAGGGTGGGAGGGGTCAGGGTACCTGGAGGGGCAACGGGGAGGTGTGTCTTCTCTCTGCTCAGAGAGCAGGAACTAGGAGTAGGACCCCACCGCTGTGTCCAGCATTGCGAACCAGAATTGGGAACGTGCTTGAAACAACCACACTGGATTCTTTTCTACGTTGGTGCAAAATGGAATATTTTGTACATTTTTTAAATGTGATTTTTGTATACTTGTATATGTATGCCAATTTGGTGCTTTTTGTAAAGGAACTTTTGTATGATAATGCCTGGTCATTGTGTGACTGGCGATTGTTATAAAGAAGGGAAGGAAGCCAGGTTGTTACAGCTGCCCACTTCCTCTCCTTGGTGGGAGGACTTCGTAGTACTCACAGGTCCAGGAAAGGATAATGTACTGTATTTCAGCATCTATACCCCACATAAGGGACGGTGACCGAGTTTGTGTTATATGTTGTTTTAATAAATGCACAGCGCTTTCTTCCAATTATTACCAAAAGAGCTGAGGTTTCATTCAGCCTTTTTTTTCCAGTGAGGAGAGTTCAGGGCAGACAGACAGAAGGCCTGCTAGGAAGTGTAGGGCAGGAAATAGACAGTAATGGCAAAAACCCAGGTTTCTATCCCACCAAACAAGTTGTCCTTCAACCTTGCATTTCCCAAAGAGAGCTCCTTGGAAAACTGGCCCTGACAGGACCCTTCAGAAAAGGTTTCATTCAATGCCTTGTTTTCTGGTTCTCTAGAAAACACAACCTGAGGCAAAGAGTGAATAGTTCAGCTACATTCCTAGGACAGCCAGAGTGAAGGGAAGTGGAAGCCAGGTAGGAAAGTGAAGTGAAGAGAAAGTCGCTCAGACGTGTCCGACTCTGTGACCCCATGGACTACAGTCCGTGGAATTCTCCAGGCCAGAATACTGGAGTGGATAGCTTTTCCCTTCTCCAAGGGATCAGGGACTGAACCCAGGTCTCCCACACTGCAGGCAGATTCTTTACCCGCTGAGCCCCCAGCGAGGAAAGCAAATATATAAAGTATCACGTTACCGAGCTGGCCACAGCTTCACCAAGAGAGCTGGCTGTTTGCTCAAGCGTGGGAGATGCTTCTAGCAGGGCAAAAAGAAGAGTGTGCCTTGAACAGTTCATCAGTAGGAAGAAGGGGGAGACTTGTCTACTGGCTTCTTTCACCTCCCATCTCTTAGCATTGGAGTTTGCCTCCCAGAGCGTCAATGCCCCGAGCGTCCCTTCTGTCACTTGACCCTTTGGGCAGCTGTGGGGGACGCTCAAGGGCTGTCAGCTGACTCTGCAGATGGTGAGAGGAGCCTCCAGGTCTTGTGGGGTTGGGCGTAGGTTTTGTGCTGGTCTCAGCTTATTAATGACTAATGTGGTTAGACCGGCCCTTGTAATTCTTGTTAATTTCAAGATGTTTTTAAGTACTAAGCAATAGGCAAGTTTAAAAAATAAAGGCTTATTACTTACAAGATCTGGACATTACACAGCATACCACGCAGTGAGTTCAAGGTGGAGAGAGGGAGGGATAAAGCATGGTCCTGTCTTCTGTTTCTATTGGGGTGGAGGGTGGGGGCCTACAGTTTTAAAGCCTCACTCTTCATTGATGAATTTAAAGCATAAGCGTGGGATTTTAAAGTGTGAGAAGAGAAAAAAAAGTCGAGTGACCCAAATTGTCAGTTAGCCAAATCAACTAAGATTGCGAAAACAGAGGAATCTCAGTGGGGAGAGGCACCCAAGGTGTTTGCTAGACATAGGCCCCTTAAAGTGGTTGCCTCTTTTATTTTTTTTTTTTTTATTTTTTTTTTTTTTAATTTATTTATTTATTTATTTATTTTTTTTATCACAACCATAGTGTATCTTTTTTTTTTTTTTTTTTTTTTAACATGTATTCCCCATCCCGGTCCCCCCTCCCACCTCCCTCTCCACCCAATCCCTCTGGGTCTTCCCAGTGCACCAGGCCCGAGCACTTGTCTCATGCACCCAACCTGGGCTGGTGAACTGTTTCACCCTAGATAATATACGTGTTTCAATGCTGTTCTCTTGAAACATCCCACCCTCGCCTTCTCCCAGAGTCCACAAGTCTGTTCTATACATAGGAGTCTCTTTTTCTGTTTTTGGTTGCCTCTTTTAAAGTGAATGGTAATCAGAGCTTAAGTCAGGTACTTGCTTTACAAAAAAGCAAATAAAACAAAATCTGTCAGAGGGCTAGAGCTGCTGCTGCCCCCACCATGGTGGACACCATGGAGGCTCTGCTAGAGCCCAGATTTACTCCAGGGAAGGCCAAGCCAGCCACCTATGCTAGGTCATGAGACGATGACCATGGCTGAAACAACATCAGGCTCTCCAGGAACAAGGGGCTGGGAGGGAGGTGAGGCTGAGTCAGTCTGATGGAGGTGCGTCAACTGGGTCTGAGACCCTTAAGATTTAGGAATTTGAGGAATGCTGCAGAGTCTGTCCCACCCTTTTTGACATTCAGAACTCAGTAGCAACTTAAGGGCTCTGTGCAGTCCTGCCATAAAGTTCATGGTGTTTGGAATACCACCTGATCTTTAAAGCTCTTATGTTTTAGGATGTTCCATCCTAAAGGAAATCAGTCCTGAATATTCATTGTAAGGACTGATGTTGAAGCTGAAGCTCCAATACTTTGGCCACCTAATGTGAAGAATTGACTCATTTGAAAAGACCCTGATGCTGGGAATGATTGAGGGCAGGAGGAGAAGGGAATGACAGAGGAGGAGATGGTTGGATGGCATCACCAACTTGATGGACATTAGTTTGAGTAAACTCCGGGAGTTGGTGATGAACAGGGAGGTCTGGCATGCTGCAGTCCATGGGGTCGCAAAGAGTCAGACATGACTGAGTGACTGAACTGAACTGAACTGAACTGATCTGAATGTTTTTTGGTGGATTGAACATTGAACCCATCATTTCCCAACTTACTCATTCATGTGACATCCTCCAGAACTAGCCCTTCTGTGTAATTCAACCTTATGAAAATGCTTTCAACCCTCACATCTCTGCCCATTTTCACTTCTGGGACTTTTTCCAAGGCTAACTTGATCCCTGTGAATTTCAAGGAATCAAATTTTGCTTTCATTTCCAGTCCTTTTTCAAGTTCTGAAGCAAGAGTTTAAAAAAAAAAGTGTAAAATATTACATACAAAAGGGATTCCCTGGTGGTCCAGTGGCTAAGACTCTGTGTTCCCAATGCAGGGGACCACGGTTCAATCCGTGGTTGGGGAAATATATCCCACACTCTACTGAAGATCCCGTGTTCCACAGCTAAGACCCGGTGCTGCCAAATAAATAAATAAAATACTTAACAACAACAACAACAATAAAAACCACATACAAGTGCACAGAACTAATTTCAGAGTTATATAAACTATATACTGAAATCTGATGCTGCTACTTAGCCGATCAGGAAAAAGAATATTATATGTTTAACTGAATCACTTTGCTATATGTCTGAAACACTGTAAATCAACTGCACTTCAATTAAAGAAAGAAAGATAGAATAAAAGAAAAAAAAAACCACATTATGAACCCCTAGGGACTCTTCATGTGTCTGCCTCCTCTTGCGTGGATGTAACTACTACCCTTTTTTGACAATCCCACACTTTTTTTTAATAGTCCTAAAATATCCTCTTATAGAAGCCTGAAGGAATTTGAGGCCAGAAGGAGAGAAGTTTTCATCTTGAAATCACAAAAATCAGTGTTACAACCAGTCCACATTCTACCTCCAGAGTTCCCCAGAGTTCTCACACAGATCATGTGTGAGATAAGTATATCTATCCACTACCTTGCCACTTATCAGAGGGAGCGGGGAGGGCAGTCAAGGCTCTGTAATCAGAAATGTGAATTCCAGGGAGATATCTGATATTGCAAATAAGGGAATCTCTAGTTGCCACACAAAGGGCACTTGCAAACCGGAACACTCAAAGGTGGTATGAAGTCTTCCTGATCAACAAGTTTCTTTTAAGATCATGCTGCAAAGAAATTGGCTTCAGAGGGGTTACGCCATAAATATTGAATACAGTTTTGGCGGCTGCATTAGAATCACCAGAGGTTTATTTTTCCCTAAACCTTTAATTCTGGGAAATTTCAAATGTACAGAAAAGTACAGGGAATAGTATAACATACCTTCCTTACTCATTGCTCAGTTTCAGTAGTTACTGACATACTTGTTTCTTCTCTATCATTACTCCTTCTCCTCACTGTGATTATTTTAAGGCAAATTCCAGGTCTCATGTAACCTGTTAGATAAAGGTTCTTTTCAAAATCATAACCATTACACCATTAAAAATATACCATACAAATAGCTAAAGAAAGAAGTGAAGCAAAAAGCAAGGAAGAAAGGGAAAGGTATAGTCAACTAAACACAGAGTTCCAAAGAACAGCACGGACAGACAAGAAGGCCTTCTTTAATGAAGAGTGTATAAAACTAGAAGAAAAAACAGAAGGGGAAAGACTAGAGATCTCTTCAGGAAAATTGGAGATATCAAGGAATATTTTGCTCAAGATGGGCATAATAAAGAACAGAAACGATAGAGACCTAGTAGACGCTGAAGAGATCAAGAAGAGATGGAAAGAATACACAGAAGAACTGTGCAAAAAAGATCTTAATGAACCAGATTTCTACGATGGTGTGGTCAGTCATGCAGAGCCAGACATTCTGGATAGCAAAGTCAAGTGGGCCTTAGGAAACACTGCTGTTAATAAAGCTAGTCATGCAACAGAATTCCAGGAGAACTATTCAAAAGCCTAAAGGATAAGGTCATCAAGGTGTTACATCCAATATGTCAGCACATCTGGAAGACCCAGCAGTGGCCACAGGACTGGAAAAGGTCAAACCTCACCCCAATTCCCAAGAAGGGTAGTACAAAAGAATGTGCTAGCCATCAGACAATCATACTCATCTCCCATGCTAGTAGTTCAGTTCAGTTCAGTTCAGTTCAGTCGCTCAGTCATGTCCGACTCTTTGCGACCCCATGAATCGCAGCATGCCAGGCCTCCCTGTCCGTCACAAACTCCCGGAGTTTACTCAAACCCATGCCCATTGAGTCGGTGATGCCATCCAGCCATCTCATCCTCTGTTGTCCCCTTCTCCTCCTGCCCCCAATCCCTCCCAGCATCAGGGTCTTTTCCAATGAGTCAACTCTTCGCATGAGGCGGCCAAAGTATTGGAGTCTCAGCTTCAGCATCAGTCCTTCCAATGAACACCCAGGACTGATCTTCAGGATGGACTGGCTGGATCTGCTTGCAGTCCAAGGGACTCTCAAGAGTCTTCTCCAACACCACAGTTTAAAAGCATCAATTTTTCGGCGCTCTGCTTTCTTTATAGTCCAACTCTCACATCCACACATGACCATAAGCCTTGACTAGGCGGGCCTTTGTTGGCAAAGTAATGTCTCTGCTTTTTAATGTGCTATCTAGGTTGGTCATAACTTTCCTTCCAAGGAGTAAGCGTCTTTTAATTTCAAGGCTGCAGTCACCATCTGCAGTGATTTTGGAGCCCCCAAAAATAAAGTCTGACACTGTTTCCACTGTCTCCCCATCTATTTCCCATGAGGTGATGGGACCAGATGCCATGATCTTAGTTTTCTGAATGTTAAGCTTTAAGCCAACTTTTTCACTCTCCTCTTTCACTTTCATCAAGAGGCTTTTTAGTTCCTCTTCACTTTCTGCCATAAGTAAGGTCACACTTAAAATCTTGCATGCTAGACTTCAGCATTATGTGAACCAACAACTTCCAGATGTCCAAGCTGGCTTTAGAAAAGGAAGAGGAGCCAGAGGTCAAATTGCCAACATTCACTGGATCACAGAGAAAGCTAGGGAATTCCAGGAAAACATCTACCTCTGTTACATCAGTTACGCTAAAGCCTTTGACTGTGCATATCATAATAAACTGTGGAAAGCTGTTCGAGTAATGAAACTACCAGACCATCTCACCTGTTTCTTAAGAAACTTGTATGCGGGCCAAGAAGCAACAGTTAGAATCCTGTATGGAACAATTGATTGGTTCAAGATTGAGAAAGGGGTATGACAGGGCTGTCTGCTGTCACCCTGTTTGTTTAATCTGTACACTGAGCACATCATGAGAAATGCCGGGATGGATGAGTTACAAGCTGGAGTCAAGATAGGTGAGAGAAACATCAACAACCTCAGATATGTGCACAATACCACTCTAATGGCAGAAAGCGAAGAGGAACTAAAGAGCCTCTTGATGAGTGTGAAGGAGAGTGAAAGAACTGGCTTAAAATTAAATATTAAAAAAAGAAAACTAAGATCATGGTATCTGGCCCCATTACTTCATGGCAAAGAGAAGAGGAAAAGGTGGAAGTAGTGACAAATTTCCTGTTCTTGGTCTCTAAGATCACTGCGGATCGTGACTGTAGCCATGAAATCAGATGATTGCTTGTTGGCAGGAAAACTATGACAAACTTAGACTGTGCTGAAAAGCAGAGACATTACTCTGCCGACAAAGGTCTGTATAGTCAAGGCTATGGTCTTCCCAGTGGTCACGTATAGTTGTGAGAGCTGGACCGTAAAGAAGGCAGAGTGCCAAAGAATTGATGCCTTTGAACTGTGGTGTTGGAGAAAGTGAAGTCGCTCTGTCGTCTCCGACTCTTTGGGACCCCATGGACTGCAGCCTCCCAGGCTCCTCCGTCCATGGGATTTTCCAGGCAAGAGTACTAGAGTGGGTTGCCATTTCTTTCTCCAGGGGAATCTTCCCGACTCAGGGATTGAACCCGGGTCTCCTGCCTTGCGGGCGGACGCTTTACCCTCTAAGCCACCAGGGAAGCCCCAAGGCTCCTGAAAATCCCCTGGACAGCAAGAAGATCAAATCAGTCAACCTTAAGGGAAATCAACCCTGAATATTCGTTGGAAGAACTGAATCTGAAGCTCCAGTGTTTTGGTCATCTTATGCGAACAGCTGACTCGGAAAAGTCCCTGATGCTGGAAAAGATTGAGGGCTGAAGGAGAAGAGAGCATCAGAGGGTGATAAGGCTGGACAGCATCACTGATGCAATGGACATGAACTTGGGCAAACTTCGGGAGATGGTGAGGGACAAGGAGGCCTGGTGTGCTGCAGTCCATGGGGTCACAAAGAATTGGACATGAATGGGCGACTGAACAACAAGAACATACCATTAAAAAGAACAATAATTTCATGATAGAATTAAACACAAGAGTTTAAAAAATATATAGATTCCCAGACCCCCTTCCCAGACCTACAGAACCAGATTCCTTGTGAAATGTTGATGGGCTTCCCTGGTGGCTTAGATGGTAAAGCATCTGCAGGATGCTTTCCCGAAATGCAGGAAACCGAGGTTCGATCCCTGGGTTGGTAAGATCCCCTGGAGAAGGAAATGGCAACCCATTCCAGTATGCTTGCCTGGAGAATTCTGAGGACAGAGGAGCTTGGTGGACTACAGTCCATGAGGTTGCAAAGAGTTGGACATGACTAAGTGACTAACACACACACACATAGGTGTTGACAGGAAAAAAATGCATGACAGAAAAGGTGTGAGTTAAGTTTTATTTGGTGACCTTACAAAGGAACAGCTCCAAAGAGGTGAGGGAGGAGCCAGAATATATATGAGCTATTTTTTTTTTTTTTTGCTGGAAAAAACAAGACCCAAGAATCTGAGGCCATTAACAAATTTTCATTACATGTGTATTTTAACCACCTGTGCTGTGCTAAGTCGCTTCAGTTGTGTTTGGCTCTTTGCAATCCCATGGACTATAGCCCACCAGACTTCTCTCTCCATGAGATTCTCCAGTCAAGAATACTGGAGTAGGTTGCCATGACCCCCCTCCAGGGGCTCTTCCCCACCCAGGGATCAAACCTAAATCTCTTCTCTCTCCTTCATTGGCAGGCAGGTGGTTTACCTCTAGCGCCACCTGGGAAGACTTCTTTGTAGGGATATCTACATTTTTAGAATAAAATTGCTGAGGTGTCTGAACTGCTAGGTCATTAGTATAGGACTTTTGGGGATCTCTGAAGGAGACAGGTATAGAATACAAATGGAGCTGCTTTTCAGTATATCACTGTCTTGACTAATTAAACTCTTCCAAATCAATTAAAATGAGTACTAGGAAAGTATTAATTTAAGGGAATTCTGGCATAAAAGCTTTTGTAAAATGAATAAACGTGTCTGGATCCAATGTGTAAATCTTCCTATATTTACCATGTACTTTCCATTTAAGGGAACAAGAGGGACAATAGAAAACACTTTTTTATTTTTTTTAAAGCATACACATTTTGCCCTCAAGTAAATTATAAGATTAATCTGAGCTGAGCCTGGGGCACTTTGAAACTTCAACTCCATCGATAAACTGAGACCCGCACAAAACGCACATCCAAACCCATTGGACCCCGGCAGGAAGAGCTAGCTGGCTTCTTTCTGCCGAACACCACGCATGGCTCCTGGGAGCTGCCGCGGGGCAGTGGAGAATAGATGGTGTGCTGGTGGCGGTGTCAGCTCAGTCCAGATGGCGACCGGGCTGAAGCGCGACCCTGCTCCATGTAGCGGTGGAGATACAGCCGGTCACCCCAGATTTTAATCAGAGCCCTAGAAGGGGAGGAACTGGTGCTGCTATAGCGACGACGATGGGTCGGTCAGGAAGGCTACCGTCCCAGACTGAGTGCAGGCACACCCCGCCCCCGGGAGCCCCCTAGCCTGCGCAAAACTTGGGGGGCCTCGGACGTCTGCAGCCGGAGGGTGAAAACCGATCACGGGTTTCCCGAGGAGGAAGACAACAACCCCAGCCTCAGGAGCCCTTTATTCTGAGTCTAGGAGCCACATTCCTGCTCTTAGGCCACTCAAAGCCGATTTCAAAAGCCGGTGTCCCGAGAACTTCCCGGCAGGAGGCAGCCAGCCCCGCGCGGGGGGCAAGTGGGCGCAGTGGAGGCAGAAACAGCAAGCAGCAGCAGGGCTGGGCGGAGGCGGTTAGGCTTTCCGACGCAGGCCAGGTGGGCTCCTCGGGCTCCCGGGACCCGGTGCTGGGGTCAGCGCCGGGGCCCTTTGCAGCCAGCTACACCCTCCCCCTTCCCTGCGGGCTTTTGCGCACGACGCGCCGCTTCACACGGAGAAGCGGGGACTTGATAAAGCCAGCCGGCGCGGCGCGCAGCCGCCGGCGTCGTGGGGGCAGCAGCGGTAGCGACAGCCGGACGACCCCTCAGCGGCCCCGGCGCGGTCCAGGCGGGAGCTGCGCGCAAGGCTCTGGTGGCAGGTGAGCGCTCGCCGCGGGAAAGCCCAGCGCGCAACTCCAGGGAGCACGTAGCAGGGCGCGCGGGGCCGCATGAAAGCGAGAGAGAGGATGCATCTGTTGGACTCCAGGCTTGCAGTCGGGTAAGGAGAACCTGGGGAGGGGCGGGAATTTCAGTGACCTCAGCCCCACCTCCCCGTCTGCCATCCTGGCAGTGGTTGGTTTTGGCGACTGCTCGACTTGGGACCCCCGCCCCCCGCCCCGACAGGAGGGGTGGGAGGGAGGTGGAGGAAAGGGGAAATTGAGGCTGAGCACAGGGACCAGTCCTTCCTCGCCGCAGAGCACAGATCCTGACCCCTGCGGGTTCGTGGGGGAGTGCATGCCTGGAGCTCCACCCCGGGGCTGGCTCTTAGCCCAGGGACCGCCCCGCCCTGGTAAGCCCGGTGTCTCCGAGTCCTTGCGAAGGGGCGAGCTGCTGTCTTCCCTGAGCATGAGCTCTGATCCTTATCCGCACTCCACTGGACCGGTCCAGCCCAGCGCCCCCCCGCCCCCCACCCCCGGCTTGTTCCCAAGGTCTTTACCTCCTCCAAGCCCTGGGAGGGATGAAGGAGGAGAAAACACACGGAGCCAAGACTCCAGGACTGGTCATTCTCCAGCACCCTCCTGCAAGGAGGGGCTTCTGGTCACACCTTAGAGTCTGTCGAACTTGGAGTATGTCCTTAACTCTTTTTCCAAACGGGCACAGGGGAACGCGCAGGCCCCACAGAGAGGTAAAACTAGAGTCAACCCTCTTTGCTCCCATCTCATCCCTCACCCTTTCTCTCTGGACAGGACTTACACAACTCTGTGGGAGGATGGGACCAGCGGCATCCCTCCATCGTCTTCACCTGGCCTGGCCTTGCAACCCACTGAGCCGGCTCCGCAGAGCAGCCATTACTGCCATTCCCAGAAGGGTCCTGGCAGTCACTGCGACCCCAAGAAGAGGGCCTGGCGGCAGCTCTGTGTGGCTTCTGCCTTCTGCCTGTTGTTCATGATTGGGGAAGTCATTGGTAAGGACTCTGGGCTAATTGCATGAAATTGGCACATGGGTAGTCTGGATGATCCCTAAGGCTTTTCTCCTGAATGTTCCTGTAGCATTAATACCAACAGCCCCGTTTACTGTATGCTTGCCAGGCTAATAGTAGGTCTCCCTTGGTGGCTCAGACAGTAAAGAGGCTGCCTGCAGTGCGGGAGACCAGGGTTCCATCCTTGGGTCGGGAAGATCCCCTGGAGAAGGAAATGGCAACCCACTCCAGTATTCTTGCCTGAGAATCCCATGAACAGAGGAGCCTGGCAGACTACAGTCCATGGGATTGCAAAGAGTCAGACATGACTGAGCAGCTGTCACACACACCATGCTGAACCTCTTACACGCACACTATCTCATGCAATCCTCACAACAGCCTCGTGTTGTCATGGGTCCCGATAGTCTCATTTTTATCGTTCATCCTCTAAGTAGATTTTGCTAATCCCATTTCACAGATGCTGGTTGAGGCTCGGAGAAAGGAAGTCACTTGTTCACGGTTACATAGCTAATGGAGAGATCTGGAATCCTTTGTCTTTCTCTAGAGCTCATGGTTTCCCTGCTGCACACACACTCTGGGAAACTGGCTCCTTGGGGAGCCGATAAGGACCCTCCCTCCTCTTGGCCCTGCAGGTGGGTACCTGGCACATAGCTTGGCGATCATGACAGATGCAGCCCATATGCTCACTGACTTTGCCAGCTTGCTTATCAGCCTCTTCTCCCTGTGGATGTCTTCCCGGCCAGCCACCAAGACCATGAACTTTGGTTGGCATCGAGCTGGTGAGGACCCTGGTTGGGATGGGGGGTGGAGTTGGGGGAGGAGGGGGTGGGTTAAGAGGAAAGTTCTTAGGTGAGTGCATTGGGTCCCTGAGTAAAACCAGGAGGGTGACTTGGGTGGGGGAAGAGGATGTCAACCATGACTTTTGTCCTTTGAGAGCTTCCAGTCTGATGGGGGAACCCTGGTCCCCTGTCCTCTGGGAGTTCCCACCCTGCAGGGAAGGAAAGTCCACCTTCCTAAGAGGATAAGTTTTATTTATTTAAGAATAAATGACGGTGGTGTTCACTTTGCACATAACGCCATAGATCGGCTTTAGTGGAGAGGGAGAGGTCAGGAAAGCTTTCTGAAGTTCATCTCTGGGCTGCGTTCTCATTCTCTTCTTGGTGGGAGATGGCCCAGCCTCTGTTCTTCAGAGCCTCAGTTTGCCAGATGAGCAATGGGTATATATTTAATGAGTCAGCTTCAACAGAAAAAATTGCCCCAGATGATGTCTTGAGTTTCTTCTAGCTCCAACCTTTTCAGATGTATGAGTGGTGGGGTGAGGTGCCAGCCATGGTACCTCCAGCAGAGTCATACCTCCAATCAGACCCAGGCTCAGATTTTGTGGGAAGGGAGAGGGGGCTCCTTAGCCTCAGGGCCCCATGCTAAGATTGGTATTGGGGGCTGGGTTCTTCCTCAGAGATCCTGGGTGCCCTGTTCTCTATGCTGTCCATCTGGGTCATGACGGGGGTGTTGGTGTACTTGGCGGTGGAACGGCTGATCTCTGGAGACTATGAGATTGAGAAGGAGACTATGCTGATCACGTCGGGCTGTGCTGTGGTCATGAACATCATGTGAGTGTGGCCTGGGGTCCCTGTGAACCCTCCCCCTCCTCACAGGCATACCTACATGCCTGCTCTTGTTAGGAGGGGGCCATGCCTCACACCAGGATGGCTGCAGGATCAGAATCTCCCTCGTGGTCTCAGCTCTGGCACCTGGAACACCTAGGTCCTGCCTGAGGCCTAGGGCCAGGCCATCAGGAACTGTAAACCTGGGGCGACATCAAGTCCCCACCCTAGATGTGTAGTGAATAACCAGAGACAGGCTTCCTACCTGTTGTGGGGAGGGGTGAGTCTAGTGCTTACAGGAGCGGGGGTCCCCAGGGACAGAATCTCAAAGCCCGTTTCAATCTGATGTGCCTGAAGTTGGTCTCATCGAGACGTAAGTTGTGTAGAGCGGGGGTGTCTATTCTGGGTTCTCTCCCCCTTGCCCAGTGGCCTTGGGCAAGCCACTTCCCTCTCTGGGCCTCAGCTTCACCCTCTGTGACATGCTGGAGGGAACTTGATCTCCTCTGTAGCGCCCTTCTGCTCTGAGGTTTGGCACTGGGGCAGCTTTGTGCCCAGGTTCAGCCTGGCATTGGATGGAGCTGAGCCCCTCCTCCCGTTGGCAAAACTCTGAACCAAGGCCACGTTCGTTGGGCTCCTTCTGTGGCCAAAGGGAGCATGCAGTCTTGGGTGGGGGCTGGGATTTTGACCCCCACAGGGAGGTTAGTCCTGATGGGGGCCTCTGCCTAGCCAAATTTGAAGCTTCCATCTGCTCCCTCAGCAAGCCCCTGGGCCTTGTCTCCACTCCCATAGAATGGGGTTGATTCTTCACCAGTCTGGCCATGGACACAGCCACAACCCCGAGCACGGCCACAACGCCAGCCAGGAGCAGGGAAGCCCCAGTGTCCGAGCTGCCTTTATCCACGTCATTGGAGACTTTCTGCAGAGCTTGGGTGTTTTGGTGGCAGCCTTTATTTTATACTTCAAGGTTAGAGCTGGGGACAGGGGGAAGTAGGGGAGGGAGTGTAGGTCACCTGGGAGCTTCTGTCTGCACAGGACCCTTTCCAGTTCTAGCTCCCTCCCAGCTCCAGGCAGAAGGGTGGGAGAGGGAAGAAACATTTACCCAATACCCACGAAGCATTAACGCTTCTGATCTTGATGAGAACCCTGAAGGGAGGTGGTGGTGTTTTCTGCTGCCCAGAAAGGCTCAATGACTTGCACAGCATCACTTAGCTGGTAAGTTGTAGAGTCAGATTCAAATCCAGGACTGTAGGTTGCTGAAGCCTGGGCATTGCCCATTACATAGAGGCAGTGGGGTGTAATGGAAAGAGCCCAGCGTTGGGTTTGAAACTTAGATCATCCCTTGCTAGCTGCATGATGTAGAGGAGTCCCTTGCTCTAATTGAGCCTCTGTTACCCCACCTATAAAGCTGGGATGTTGGGCCAGATGATGCCTAAGATTCCACTTAGCTCTGTCTGTGGCTTAGCCCCTTGGGCAGGGAGGGGTGGGGAGGCATGGTGTCTTATCCTGAACTGTGGTACGTCCTGCCTGTCCTTCTGGACACAGAATAAAAGGTAGAGAACTGGACAGCAGGGTCGGGGTGAAGCTCGTGCCCACCCTGCAGAAAAAGCCCTTCTCCCTGACTCACTACTGGGTAGGAGGGGAGAAGGAAGGCTGAAGTGTTGGCTGGTGACCCCCAGCTCTGCCTCTCTTTCCTTGTAGCCAGAGTACAAGTTTATAGACCCCATCTGCACCTTCCTGTCCTCCATCCTCGTCGTGGGGACAACCTTGACCGTCCTGAGAGATGTGATCCTGGTGCTGATGGAAGGTAACCTGAGCTTGGGGCTCCCTTTTTTGCTCTTTACTTTCCAGTGCTAAGATAAGCTCGAGTCTGTGTATATGTGGGCTTCCCAGGTGACTCAGGGGCAAAGAATCTGCCTGCCAATTGAGCAGACACCAGTTTGATCCCTGGGTTGGGAAGGTTCCCCTGGAGGAGGAGCTGGCAACCCACTCCAGTATTCTTGCCTGGGAAATCCCACGGATAGAGGAGGCTGGCGGGCTACAGTCAATGGGGTCACAGAGAGTCGGACATGACTGACCATGCACTGTGTGTGTGTGTGGGCGGGGGGGTGTGGGGGTGCATCACAGCACATGGTGGGGGGGGGGCAAGGTCTGGAGAACCTCCTGGGGCCCAGACTAATCTTGACATTGAGCAGGGTCCTCGGGTGTGGTTGTTCCGGAAATGTCCCCTGGATCGTCCTTTCCATCCCCCTACTCCAAGGGTGCCTCCTCCCTGCTGGGATGTGTCCTCCCTGCCAAGTCTGGGGGCTTCCAAGTGTGTCTTTAGCACCTGGCCCTCCTGCCCTTCCTCATATGCTTCCTGAGTCTCCACTTGCCTTCCCTTTTGGGGTGAGGATTATGCTTCTCATTGCACAGTGCTGCGGGGCCAGACTGAGGATGAGAAAAAGATAGTCGGAGCTGGACAAGAAAGACTACTGAATCCACTCCAGCTCAGGCCTTCTTTCCTGAGGTGCTCCTGCCTCGGGAAGACGTGGCAGGGCTTTGAGGGGTGCTTAGTGGTAGCGAATGGTCTACCCCAAGTTACAACACCTACTTACCTGGCTTTCTGGCGCTCCGGGTCTGGGGCCATACGTCTCTGTTGTTGGAATCAGTCTGGGTCCTGGTTTGGGGTCAGCCTGAGTGTTCAGCTGCAGGTCAGGGCATTTTCTCCAAGAATGTGATGGACCCAGATAAAAGTGATGACAAGGATGCCCCATGGGGGTGCAGGGAGCCCCGGGTTGCCTTCTTTATCTTAAAACAATTTTTATATCAAGCATATACTAGGGGAAGAGACACTGAGAATAGGGTGATAAACCAAACAGTTGTCCTGCTCGCATATAGAGTTTCCATCTGAGACAGGGAGATAGCAAGAAACTAAGAAATAAGATCATTCCTGACAGTGTCAAGTGTGAGGAGGAAAATACAACAGGGTGACACGATGGGGCTCGTTTCGGGGGGCAGGGGCAACCTCAGCTCTGCTGGCCAAGGAGGTCTGAATGAGGCGCCGTGTGAGGAGCAGGAGAAGCAGCGTGGGTGGGAGGGAGCCCTGTCCTTCAGCCCCTGTCCCTGTCGTCCTCAGGGACCCCCAAGGGCGTGGACTTCACAGCCGTGCGGAATCTGCTGCTGTCCATGGAGGGCGTGGAAGCCTTGCACAGCCTGCACATCTGGGCGCTGACTACGGCCCAGCCTATCCTGTCTGTCCACATCGCCATTGGTGAGTGGCGGGAGCACTCAGGGTGGGTGCGGGAGAGGCAGCTGGGGACCTGGGCCATCCCTGCCCGATGGGTCCAGATGATGCCGGGTGCTCACAGTGCCAGTGCTTTGGATCTGATCCCATGCTGAGTACTGGGCACCTTTTATTTATTTGATCATCAATGTCCCATTTATAGATGAAGAAACTGAGGCGGGGTGGGAGGTGCTAAAGGCACTGGCCCTGGCTTTTACAGCTAGTAAGTGGCAGAGGAAAGACTCCGAGCCTTAAAGCCAGAGCTTTTCCAGCTCTTTCAGTGTTGTATGTGCCAGGTGGGGGGACCAGAGGGTTGCCTGGTACAGGAGTGAGTCTGGGGGTTTCTTGATGTTCACAGCCCCCTATCTTGTTCTGCTGGGGATAGGATTTGAGACTTGCCTCCTACTCACTCCTAAGGGCCCAAGAGTGAGTAATTGGTTCTCTGGTGCCTCCCCTCTCCCCCACCCCACGTGTCTTTTCGGCCCCCAGCTGAGAACGCAGATGCCCAGGCTGTGCTGAAGGCAGCCAGCAACCGCCTGCAGGAGACGTTCCACTTCCACACCATGACCATCCAGATCGAGGACTACTCTGAGGACATGAAGGACTGTCAGTCATGCCAGGGCCCCTCAGACTGACCACCTGGCCAGGCACCAACGGGGCGGGGATAGGCCTGCCTATGGCTGGCCCCACTCACCACCACCCCCCAACCCGCCCCCACTGCCAGGCTCAGCCAGGTCTCTGCCTGCCCTGGAGAACCAGGTCCTTCTCCTAACCGCTGCTCCATGTTCCGTGTCAAGGGGCATTGTCCACCTCTGGGAACGGGCTCTTCCCTTGCCTCCCTCATCTGGCTACCCCCAGCCCAGGAGGGGAACCTGGCAGGTATGGAGCTGGTGTGACCACGTTCCTCCGGCTCCTGGCGGGGCAGAGTTCAGGCCTAGTCCTCAGCTAATGCCACCCCACCACCAGCCTCTGGAAAGGCAGTGAGGCACAGAGACGGGTGGCAGAGGGGAGACCAGCCTCGTTGTCTCCTCACCTGCCTGCTTCATTCCCCATCTTTGGTCTGTCTGGCCTCTGCCTTATGCATCTGCGAAGCAGCTCTGCAAACCCAGTCCCCTTCCTCTGCCTCTGACAATACGCTTTAAGGAGGCCATGGGCCCCAGAAGGCACCTGAGGCTGATCTGTGCCTGAATCATTTCACTATGATTTCATTTCACATTTCCTTTTCCTGGAGGGAGGGGGCTTCTGACTAGGTAAGGACCTGCTGGATTCTTCTTTCCTTATCCCTCCCTCCCCCAGGAAGCTGTGCCAATGCAAAGGTGCCCTGGCAGGAGAGGTGGAGATGGGCTGAGATTTCAGCTTGGGTTCTGCCCCCAGCAGCCCCAGAGCTCGTTGGCCACTTCTCTTGCTCTGACTGTGTCCTGGGGTCAAGGAGCCTGACATCAGATATGGTTGGGCCAGCTCCATTGTCTGCGTGTCCTGGCCTGCGTGTCGTCCTGGATGACAAAGTGGGTACAACCTAAATAGGAGCCCCTGGCTTCCTGAATTAGGAGGTGGCTTGCACCTCCGCGATGAAGTGAAGGGACCTGTCCCCAGTCTGTGTCGCAGAGGAGGCAGCGCGCGCAGTCGGCAGGTGGCCCTGATCTAATGGTCTGTCTCTGACCTCAGGAGGGTCAGGGCCTGTCTCATCTGTGGACTGAGAATGTGGACACCCACCTCACAGGGTTGTTGTGAGGCTTGGAGCCAAACTGGGCTGAGCACATGGTGGTTATGGAAGAGTGGTTCCTTTTCTCATCATTCTGGAAGGATGGCCGGAGAAAACAGCTGGGCTTCCAGCTGCCTGGGGCAGCACTGGGTTTGTCCTGACCCTGTCATGACCTACGGTGGGAGCAGGAGGGGCTGGTCACTCTCGCCTTCCCCTCTGAGCCTCTCTCTTCCCATCTGTGAAATGACCTCTTTGTGGCTTTTCGGCACTCCCATCTGGGGTTGCCTGTGATCTCAGTCTATCTGTAGGTTCTTCAGCCCCTTAAAATCAGTGGGAAGTTGTGTTGGCTTGGATGTGTGTGTGTGAGAGAGACTTCTGATTGACGGAGCTCCATTCCACCCCAGTCTTCCTCCCCCCAGCCATCACAGGCCACAAGAACCCAGATCCTAGGCTGTGCTGTATGCCAAGTCTGTACACCCATCTCAAGAGACAGCCATTGCTGTCCTCCTTTTTTACAGATGAGAAAACCGAGGCTCAGAGAGGTTGAGTCACGTGCCCAAAGTCACACAGCCGGTGTGAGGCAGGTCTGGGATTTCTGCTTTGTTCCCCTAGGCCTCCCCCTACAGCAGGGGCTGGGGACCTGCTCTGGGCTGCGTGTTGGTACAGTGTGAGCCTTTTGGCTTGGCAGCCCACAGGCGAGGCCTGGCCAAGGCAGTTCAGTGTTCTGGGTGCAGCAGCTAGGAGTTGGGAGGGAAAAGGTGCCTCTTTCCCCATCTGGGCCTGGCACTTGGAGTCCTCCCCACCCTGGGAAGACTGCCTGGGCTGCAGCTGTGTGCTTCCTCACCCACTGTCCTTGACTCAGGGCCAGACTGTCCCCCCTCCACCTCAACAATCTAGCAGCCCCATGCCTCCCCAGAGAGAGAGCCTTCTCGGCACCCCACGCTGTAAGCGGCTCCAGGGATGACTCGAGTCATCCAGGGGCCAGAGGTCAAACTGGAGGATGGAGGTGGGAGGCCTTGGAGTGGCCTCGGGGACAGCATGTTCTGGCCAGCGAGCTAGTCACTAGTCACGGGAGTTTCCAGAGCTGCGAGGCCATCAAAGCAGAAAAACACCTGATACCCTGGACCTGGTTTGGACCCACCATCCCCGTCCCTCTCTGTGGGAGTGGCCCCAGATCCCAGGCGAGACCTGAGTCCCCCTCCCCCGCGCAGCTGCTGTGATGGTATTTATAGCCTGAGCGTGAGGCGGCAAGGACACGCGCTTTTATTTCGGAAGTGATAATTCCAGTCCCAGGTGGGTGAGCCCAGGAGGACCCAGCGTCCCCTCCCCCGCTCTACTCTTACTACCAGGGCCCTAGGGACCGCCCCTGCTACCCCTCAGCCCACCTAAAAACGGCCCCCTTCTTAGTGCCAAGTGTGTGGGCCAAACCGGTTTCAGACGTCAAACTGGGCACCACCAACCCCCAAGACCCCGCGCCCGCTAATCCCACCCGCTGGGCGTTTAGAACTCCCTCCTCGGTCCTGGATCCGCCTGCAATGCGGGAGACCTGGGTTCGATCCCTGGGTTGGGAAGATTCCCCTGAAGAAGGGAAAGGCTACCCACTCCAGTATTCTGGCCTGGAGAATTCCATGGACTATAGTCCATGCGGTCGCAAAGAGTCGGACACGACTGAGAGACTTTCATTCTCGGTCCCAGAGGAGGGAGCGCGGCTCGGTGCTGACCTCTAATGGACGAGGCTGGTAGTGCGGGACGACAGCAGTGCCTGAGCTGAGGGGCCAGCGGCGTTCCCATCCCCTCCCCTCCCAATTTTGCTCTGCCCGGTCGAGAAGGAAGCCCTGAAATTGGCTCCTTTGCTTCATCTCTGGGGCTCGAGGATTGCGCCCAGCAAGCCAGGAACCTGCGGCAAAGATGCCTTCCAGGCTGTAGGCGTGGAGTTTACTCCACACACCTCGTCCACGCCCCCGCCCACTGGGCCCAGGGCCCAGGCACGTAGCTGATGTCTATCTGATCGTCAAATATTTGTGGCGTACCTGCCAGGCCAGAGAGAAGAGGCCATGGTCTGCCCTCCCGGGGCTCCCGGGTCAGGCCTGGGAGCCTGACAGTGTACCTTTTCAAGGCAGCACGAATAAGGGGACTAGGGACACACCAGCTGCGAAAGCGCTGAGGATCAGGGCGGGGGTAGGGGTCAGGCAGGTTCGTGGAGGAGGCGAGGACCTGAAAGAGAAGCAGCTGTTAGTGGGGCAGAAACGCCGAGAAAGGCATTGCAGGTAAACGGTCTGCGAAGGCAGAGGCCAAGCACATGGGAACTGCCCCTGGGCGGGAGGGTGGGGCGAGGCTGTCGCTGGCCAATAGGGATCGGCCGTGTTAGGCTCACTGGCAGCCTGGATTGGGTCTCCAGATATCCCAGGGGTGGGGGCTGCGGCTCCATGTCTGTCCCCAACCCCTGGCAGGTTGCAGCTGCCCCTGGGAGCGGGGCCAGGGTCTCAGCTGGTTGGTTCCTTCTAGGGCTTCTCCAGGCTGCGATACTTCTTACGCAGCACGGACACCGGGTCCTTGAAGAGCACTGGGTCTAGACGGAGGCGGGAGGACACCAGGGGCATGTGGCCGAACCCTGCCGCCATCCGGCTGATGCAGTTCTGGGCGGCCGGCTGAGGCTCCGCTCTGAGCCGCGGACTCCCAGGCGCCTAAGAGCGGGGCGGAGGAATGTGTTGGGGGTGGAGGGGGGGGCTTCTCTTACTTGGAACCCCGCCCTGCCGTCCCACCCCGCCGGTCCCGGGCAGCACAAAGGATTTGGGTTAGACAGAGCAGGGCTTCCCTAGCCAGGGCTCCCAGTGCCACCCCTGGGTCCTCACCAGTGGAGGAGGCCTGGCCTCCTGATGCCACGGCCCATAGGGCACCTTGATAGGCGGCAACTTGGTGACGGCTGCTACTAGAAAGTTCATCAGGACATCCACGCAGCGGGGTGACTCATCTGCCAGGGTCCTCAGAGCCTTGGGCAGGGAGTGGGTGAAGAGGGTGTGGTAATACCTGGGGGAGAGGAGAGGAGCAGGAGAGTCTGCAGCCCGATTCTCCCCCAAGGCCCCATTCTTCTCCCTCCTGGCCTCACTCTCCCATTGACCTCAATTCCTAAGCTTCTTGTGAAAGCCCTGCACCCTTTACTGAGCCCTGGCCGCCTCGGAGAGCTCCCATCCCAAGAATGCTCTGCTCTCTACTACTCTGCACCCTGTGGCTTCTCTGCAGCCAACAGAGAAATGAAATGCAAAAAAAAAAAAAAAGAAATGCAAAAAGGCAAAATGGTTGTCTGAGGCGGCCTTCCAAATAACTGAGAAAAGAAGAGAAGCTAAAGGCAAAGGAGCAAAGGGAAGATATACCCATCTAAATGCAGAGTGCCAAAGAATGACAAGGAGAGATAAGAAAGCCTTCCTTAGGGATCAGTGCAAAGAAATAGAGGAAAACAATAGAATGGGAAAGGGTAGAGATCTCTTTCAGAAAATTAGAGATAGCAAGGGAACATTTCATGCAAAGATGGGCACAATAAAGGACAGAAATGGCATGGACCTAACAGAAATAGAAGGTATTAAGAAAAGGTGGCAAGAATACACAGCAGAACTATACAAAAAAGATTTTAATGACCCAGATAACCATGATGGTGTGATCACTCACCTAGAGCCAGACATCCTGGGGTCCAAAGTGAAGCCGGCCTTAGGAAGCATCACTATGAACAAAGGTAATGGAGGTGATGGAATTCCAGTTGAGCTATTTCAAATCCTAAAAGATGATGTTGTGAAAGTGCTGCACTCAATATGTCAGCAAATTTGGAAAACTCAGCAGTGGCACAGGACTGGAAAAGGTCAGTTTTTATTCCAATCCCAAAGAAAAGCAATGCCAAAGAATGTTCAAACTACCACACAATTGCACTCATCTCATACACTAGCAAAGTAATGCTCAAAATTCTCCAAGCCAGTCTTCCAACAGTACATGAACCAAGAATTTCCAGATGTTCAAGTTGGATTTAGAAAAGGCAAAGGAACTAGAGATCAAATTGCCAACATCCACTGGATCATAGAAAGAGCAAGAGAGTTCCAGAAAAATATCTACTTCTGCTTTATTGACTATGCTAAAGCCTTTGACTGTGCGGATCACCACAAACTGTGGAAAATTCTTAAAGAGACCACCTTACCTGTCTCCTGAGAAACCTCAGGAGGTTTCCAGGTCAAGAAGCAACAGTTAGAACCAGACATGGAACAATGGATTGGTTCCAAATTGGGAAAGGAGTATGTCAAGGCTGTATATTGTTACCCTGCTTATTTAACTTATATGCAGAGTACTTCATGCAAAATGCCGGGGTGGATGAAGCACAAGCTGGAGTCAAGATTGCCAGGAGAAATATCAATAACCTCAGATATGCAGATGACACCATCCTTATGGCAGAAAGTGAAGAAGAACTAAAGAGCCTCTTGATGAAAGTGAAAGAAGAGAGTGAAAAAGTTGGCTTAAAGCTCAACATTCAGAAAACTAAGATCATGGCATCTGGTCCCATCACTTCATGGCAAATAGATGGGGAAACAGTGGAAACAGTGGCTGACTTTATTTTTCTGGGCTCCAAAATCACTGCAGATGGTGATTGCAGCCATGAAATTAAAAGACGCGTATTCCTTCGAAGGAAAGTTATGACCAACCTAGACAACATATTAAAAAGCAGAGACAAAACACACACACACACACACACACAGACACACACACGCACGCACAAATAAATAAATAAAAAGCAGAGACATTACTTTGTCAACGAAGGTCCATCTAGTCAAGGCTATGGTTTTTTCAGTGGTCATGTATGGATGTGAGAGTTGGACTATAGAGAAAGCTGAGCACCAAAGAATTGATGCTTTTGAACTGTGGTGTTAGAGAAGACTCTTGAGAGTCCCTTGGACTGCAAGGAGATCCAACCAGTCCATCCTAAAGGAGATCAGTCCCGGGTGCTCATTGGAAGGACTGATGCTGAAGTTGAAACTCCAATACTTTGGCCACCTGATGTGAAGAACTGCCTGATTGGAAAAGACCCTGATGCTGGGAAAGATTGAAGGCAGTAGCAGAAGGGGATGACAGAGGATGAGATGGTTGGATGGCATCACCGACTCAATGGACATGAGTTTGAGCAACCTCTGGGAGATGGTGATGGACAGAGAAGCCTGGTGTGCTGCAGTCCATGGGGTCGCAGAGAGTCGGACAGGACTAAAGCAACTGAACTGAACTGAACTCTCCTCTCCCTCAGGCTCCTTGGGGCCCCTCCCCTGGGCTCTGAGTCTGAATTCAGGCAGAGTCAGAAGGAAGAAAGGATCAGCTGGTTCCCAGGCCTTCAAAGATGGCAGCCCAAAGAGTAGCTTCAGGGAGGCTGTGGGTTAACCACGCCTCCCCCAAATCCAAACCGTGTCCATGCCCTCTGCATGGCTCTGCTTAAAATACCACTAGTTGCCTTTGCTTGACTGTCTGTGTGTGAAGGACTTCATGTACTTTTCTTATTTGATGGTCACTCCAGCCCTGTGCGGTGAATACACTTTACAAATGAGGAGACTGAACCCCAGGAGAGGTGGGGAGACTTGCCCATCACAGCACTGGGAAGTGGCCTTGAACCTGGATCTCTGGGCTATATGCTGGCTGTATGTGTTCACTCCCATACCACCCTGCTCCTGGTTCAAAGAAGGGGGTCTCTGTGACCCTCTGAGTCCAGCGCTGGGGTTACCATCAGTACCTGTGGTAGAAGGCAGCTGAGGTGAGAACCATGGAGAATTCATTGGCCCTCTCGCCAGTGTAGCCCCAGCCCCCCTGGGCCTCATCCCAGAAGTGGCTCCATGTGAGAAAGCCGACCATCCGCTCCGGGAAGCTCTGCCATACCGTGAAAGCGAAGTCCACCTGGGGAGATATTGAAGTGAGGTGTGAGGAAGGACTTTCTGCCCAGCCAGGAACATCAGAGACATGGAGTCAAGGCCAGCCCGGCTGAGGGGACTCAAGGGAGAGGAGATGGGAGCCTGAAAATGTCCAGGGGTTGCTTAAGAACTTCCCAACTGGGAAATAGAAACAGTGCTTTTGCAGCTGGGGAACTGAAAATGTTTTCAAAGAGTCTGTGAAGTGAAAGTCACTCAGTTGTGTCTGATCCTTTACGACCCCATGGACTGTAGCCTGCCAGGCTCCTCTGTCCATGGAATTCTCCAGGCAAAAATACTGGAGTGCATAGCCATTCCCTTCTCCAGGGGCTCTTCCTGACCCAGGGATTGAACTGAGGTCTCCTGCATTGCAGGCAGATCCACCATCTGAGCCACCAGGGGAGCCCAAAGAATCTGTGGAAAGCCTCTATTAGACTTCTAAGGAGGAGGCTGCTGGCTCACCCGGGTGATGTCTAAAGCAGGAGGCTGGACCTCTTGATCTTTGATCATCCCAGCTCCCGGAATCTGCGGGCTGCCAGGACCCACACAGGGCTTCTCTTGGGGGTCCTCACCTCACTTGTGGAAAGACTGCTGTGGGCGTCCAGGCTCAGGATGGCATCGGTGCTGATGGCGCTGTACGGGAGGAAGCGGTCACTGGCCTGCAGGGGGAGGGGGTGGAGGACAGCTCAGCTGTGGGACCCCTCCCCAGGCTCCCATGGTGAGAATCTGAATATCTGCTAAGCATGAACCGCCCCCCCCCACACACACACACACAGGCATGGTATAAAAGGAAGAGCCATGAAAACAAGTCTGCAAGGGACTCGGACCCTAGGACCTCGCTTTCCCTTTGGTAAAATGGGGCCATTGGTGTCTAGGACCCTTCCAGGTTTGACATTTCAGGATTCCTCTAGTGTCATATCAGATGCTCACCTCAGCCCTGGAAAGGCTTGTTAAACATCCTTTGTTTCAAAGAGACAGGTTCGGAAAGATGGACTTGCCCAGGATGGCACAGCAAGCGGTTGGGTCATACCAACCCAGATTCTCAGAAGCATCCTGTCCCATCCCCACCCCCATGCCAAATGCTGCTACCTGTCCAAGTTTCCCCTCTCTCCCTTACCTGAGACAGCAAGGTAGTCCCTCTGCCTTCCCTCATCACACGAAACCCCGGTTCTCTGGCAGTACAATTCACAAGAATGGAAGAGAATCATTTCTATTAGGCCTGCAGCTGAAACCCACAGTCTGATTTCTCCAGGCCCAACTTGTCCAGCTGTGGCTCAGGCCCAAGTCAATCCTGCCGCGTGTGTGTTCCCCAGATCCCAGCCTCTGTCCTTCCTGTGCCCCTCCCCATCCTCACCTTCCTGTGCCCATCAAGGACTGTCAAGGGCACTGCTGTCTCAGGCCACCTGGGTGGGGGTGGCTTCTTACTGCTCCAGAGAACCAAGATCTAGAAGGAAAGAGGGGGGAAGGTGTCCTGAAGTCTGGGGCAGAAGGTGGTGGTGGGGGTGTCCCAGGAGTACTCTTTCTCAGGGTGGAAGAAGTTTAGGGGAGCCACTGTTGTATGCGAGTTTGGAAGGAGTTTAGTTGGAGCCAAGGTGCTTGCATGGTTGCCCTGTTTTTGCCTCTGGGCTTCTGGAAGGCATGAATTCCAGCGACACACAGGTTAGAGCTCAGCTCCTAGCCTGGACCCTGACCCCATCCCCCACCCCCATCTTTTCTCAAAGGTTTTTATTCTCTTCCTCTTGCTCTTTTATCATTCCCAGCCCAGCTCAAGTGTCCCATCTTTGAAGTTGCTCCATCTGTGCTCTGGCTGAACAAACTGCTTGTTTGCTTTTCAAGTACTCTCAAGAGCCTATCTGGTTTCTCTGGAAGTGACATTTGACAGTCTGTGTGCTGGGAGATGCTAACTAAATATGAATCTGGGGCAGATCCTTTCCTGCTTTTTCTCTGCATCCTCAGCATCAAGCCCAGGGTGCTCAGAAAATGCCAGATGAGCAAATGAATGCATGTACGTTTATTTCAACCTCCCAAGAGGTGCCTGTTTTTCAGGGGGCTTCATCAGTTTCTGTGAGGGAAGAGGGGACAGAAGTGAGGGAAAGGACCTAGGGTGGAACTTGGAACTGAAAGAGGAAGGCAGCAATGGTACTTGAAAATCCTTCCCACGGCTCTCCCACAATGTGTGGTTATCCTTGGTGTCCAGACGTCTTCACGGGCCCCGCCCTGTTCCTTGCCCCCACCCCGATCCAAGCACCCCAGCTGGCAAGGGGGCAGACCTGGGCACAGTGTTGGGCGCCTGCCACCGCCTGGATGAGCTTCAGGGGGGGCTGGTCTGGAGCCCCCACCCAAATCAGGGCACTGAACCTGCCCAGAGGACGAGAGCCTGGAGGAATGAGACACAGGCTGTTAGGGTCGGAAGGAACAGAACCCCCTGGAGAATGACCTGAGTTGGGAACCTGGGGAGCCGGGAGAGGTGGGAGATTTGGAGAGGGGCTTGGTGGGACTCTAGGGTTGAGGCTGGGTCAGACTCGGGGTGAGTTGACGAGGGGACTTCAAGTTGTCCCACCCCTAGGGCACTCACCCTGTTGTAGGTGGTAGAAGGGAAAGTCCGAGGGGCTTGTGGAGAAAGTGGACAGGGCCAGGAGTGCCCCTGGGGGGCTGTTCCACAGGAGCGAGGGGTGAGCAGATGCTCCAGAGATCCGGTCCTGAATAATCTGCGTAAGGAGAGAAGGCTGGGCAGAGGGCGTGGCCAGTGGGGCGGTGGGCGGGGCCTGAGGAAGCGAGGACCCGGTGCAGCCCCACACCTCCCCCTCCAGGAATCCGGGGAGGGCAGCATCTGCATCACCAGATGGTTGGGGACAGCAGGGTTCAGAGTCCAGAGTAGGGGTCACTGCCTGATGCTGTCTGCACTCATGGCAGACACCATGAGCAGGCCATGACATTCTTTCCGGACCCAGAATACCTCCCAACACCAGCCCCAGGCAACCATTGCCCATCAGCTGGAGCTGGCCCATGCTTGGAAATCTGTTTGCTACAGATGTCGCTCTAGAGAGGGGGAAGCTGGGCCAAGACTAGAGAAGGAGCTCATTCAAGAGCTCGGAGCCAAGTCTGATTCCTCCCAGAAGCATCTTCAAGGGGGAAGCCTAGGCACCAGGGCAGAGGAGGTGTTTGAAGAGAGGGGCATGGCTAGGGGACAGGGATGGGGTGGAGCCAAGCCTCCGAGCCCCCCTTGGGTGAGTCCCCCTCACCTCCAGGGTGGTGTGGATGACTTTCTCCATGGAGGAGAAGTAGGCGTCCCACAGAAACTGGGCCTGCTGACGCAGAGCAAGGACTCGCGAGAGGGGCATCTCCTGGAGGGCAGCCAGGACCTGGGGCCAGAGGGAGAAAAGGAGGCGGCATGGGGCCCTGGCAGGCTCTGGCTCAGCTGGTGTGGGGACAGCCTAGGGTGGGGGTCTGGAACCAGAAGCCGGCTCCCCACGCTTCTCTACATGGGTTGGCAGCTGTCATCCTTGGCAAAATCCCAGGTAATTTAGCAATCAAGTGTTCAAGGGTCACACAGAGCTGGGTTTAAATGCCACTTCGTAACCGTGTGACTGTGGGCGAAGCACTTAACCTCTCTGAGTCTGTTTCCTCATCTGTAAAGTGGACGGATAGTACTGGCCTCATAGGGTGGTTGCAAGGATTAAGTTAGATGATATATATTAAGTGCTTAGCACATTGTAGAGGCTCAGTGAAAGGAATCTATTCCTGTTAGCTTCTTACCCCGTTCTCTACTTCTCAGGAGATTCAAGGCTTATGTTTATATTTTTCAGAGATAGGCAAAGTTAGTTTAATCAGATGGGAAAATCACTGGGTGTTTTGCTTTCCCACTCCAAGCTCCATGTAGAGACACTCATATTTTTTTTATTTTTTGTGACGTTTCCTAAAACTAGGTATTCAATCAGTTCATGGACCCATGGGATTGGGCCCAAGGAGTTCATCTAGTCTAATTTATCCCATTGTACAGATGGGAAAACTGAGGCTGAAAGAGGCTGAGCACTTGCTCTCAGAACCCCAGAGGCTTGGGGCTGGGGGTAAAGTCCTCAATATATAGGAGTTAGGGCTGGGATCCCAGGGTCCCCCCACATCCCGAGTCCAGTCCCCACCCCAGGGGCAGGGCCCTGAGCTACCTGAAGTGGGAGCCTCTCATCAGCTACAACAGCCGCCTTGGTCCAATCGATGACCTCCGAGAAGGGCAGTTCCCAGCGAGGGCTGAGAAGCACAGGAATGCAGCCAGCCTGAGGGGTAGGGGGGTCACTGGGGAGCCCAGTTCCACCCTGCACACACTCACCCCTCCTCTCTGCTGCACTGGGGGCAAGGGGTAAAGAGGAGAGAAAAGTGGGGATGGGGTGTTGGTCTACACAAGGTGCAGTGAATATGGCCGGAGACATACCTGAGTCTCAGAGTAAAGGAGTGGGCAGCTCACCGCCCCTTCCCATTGGTCTGGGCTCAGACTACCTTTCCAGTTCAAGAGTGTGGGGGGACAGGGCTGGGGGGCACCCCTATTGGGGCTGTACCTGCAGGGCTTGAAGGAAGTGCAAGGCATCAGGACTGCGACCAGGGATGAGGCAGAAGGTGGCATTGGGTAGCGTCGCCCCCGGGTGGGTCCTAAGGAGGCACAGGAAGGGGTCCTGCACATAGAAAGCCTAAGACAGATGCCCCCCACCCCAGCTCCCTTGATGGCCGCCCCCAGCCCTCCACACTAACACTCCCAAATTCACAGTGTGCAAGCCCACCATCATGTTTTCATGTGTTAACATTCTTGCACGCTCACAGCTGCACACTGTCCCTGTCCCACTGCAGAGGCAGCAGGCAGGAATCCCGAGCTCAAGCTCCCCCGCTGCCCTCAGGATTAGGCACCTCCCTTCTCTTCTCTGGACCACGGTTCGCTCATTTGCAAAATGGGAGGCAGCCGAGCTGCTGTTTCCACTGACTTGGGCACGCACGTGTTTGCCCTCCCACCGCTCCCCGCATGCAGACTTCTGGGCACCCCTCACCTGAGTGGCCTCCATGCCCTGCCCTCCCCCCATCCTCAGAGCCCAGGCCCATGAAAGGCTCTTCTGTCCAAAGGTGGGCTGGGCCCCCAGCCTGGAACCACACAGGAAGCGGCTGCCCAGAGAGGCCCCCTCGCCCAGAGGACAGGCCTCCTCTGTTCCTCCCCCTCCCCTCCTCCCAGGCCCAGGGCCACCCTCAGGCCACGTGTGTCTGTGGGGGGTGGGGTAGGAGTCACAGCCTCCGCAGAGCCACTACCCTGGGACTACCGGCCAGGGAAGGAGTGCCATGACCTGGCTACCGGTGTGTGTGTGTGCATGTGTGTGTGTGCACGGATGCATGGGTGTGCACAGGACTCCACACTGCGTGTGTGTGTGTGTGGTGTGGTGTGGTGTGTGTGCACGCATAGGTGTGCACAAGACTCTGGGCTATGGGGTGTGTGTATGTGTGTGTGTAGTGTGGTGTCGTGTGTATGTGTGTGTCTGTGTGTGTGGTGTGGTGTGTGTGTATGTGCACATATGGCTGTACACAGGACTCTGGGGCCCATAGACCTGCCCTGAGTGGGACTGAGGAGTAGGGCCGAGAGAATCCCAGGACCCTTCTCAGCTACAGCCTGTCTGGTCCTGAGTCTGAACCTTCAGGAAGCAATCCTAGGAGTACTTAGCCTCTGGACCAACCTTCCTTGAACAGATGGGGAGACTGAGTCTCAGAGAGCCTGAGGACTGGCTCAGGGTCTCAGAGAACGTGGGGGCTGAGCTGGAACTAGAGCCACAGTGTGCTGACCCCTGACCCTGGGTTATCTGAACCACCCCAGAGCTACTACCCAGGGGTCTCCCAGCGGACCCTGCTTTCTTGGTCTGATGCTCAGGTGTCCGCCAGGCTTCTCCTGGAAGAAGCTACAAGTTAAAAACAGGACACCCTCCATCTCACTAAAAGCCACAGCGCCAGCCAGCCACAGTCCTCTCTCCCTCCCTCAGTGAACCCCTAAAGGACTGAAGACTCCTAAGTGTAAGGCTACAGAGAAGCCAGAGCCAGGGGCCTTGCTGAGTAAACTGTGCCAGTCAGTCCTCGTCAACCTCGGCCGTCCCCTCTGTGCGTTGTCTCACCCTTCTTCCTCAGCCTGGAGCGCCCTTCCCTGCCTTGCAGCCTGAAGAGCCCCCCCTACTCCGTCTTACTGTCTGAAGTTCAAAGATCACCTCCTCTGGGAAGCCCTCCATGGTCTCTCTAGAGATGGTGCCTTCCTCTGCTCCCACAGCCTCTCTGTGCCCTGAAGTAGAAAAGAACCAAGCTAACCTTCACTGAGCATGTCCTTTGTTCTAAGTGCTTTAAGTACTTAGACTCACTTCATTCTCACAGCAACCCTATTAGATGAGAGGGATGTGTATGCTCCATTCTACAGGTGAGGAAACTGAGGCCTAAAGAGGTTCCACAGCTCTGAAGTAGAGGGGCCAGGCAGGCAGCTGGCCCAGCCTCTCTCTGCTTAACAATGTCTGTCATAACCAGGGACTTGTCTGTCTCTCTAATGAGACCAAGCTGCTTGAGGGACGGGGCTGTGCCTCCCTCAGCCGGTATCCCCAGGGCCAAGCAGAGCGCCTGGCAGAGAAGGGGCACTCAGTGGGGCTAGACAGATGAAAGCTCAGTGTGTGACAGAGGAGAGACTCAGGACCAATGGACCAGATGTCTGAAAGGTCAGTTTGGGCACAAATTCTAGGAATGGAGCTGGCTGAGAGTAGTCAGTGGGTGGCCTTGGGAGGGCTTGAGTTCCCTATCAGAGGCTGGTTGAGCACTGCATGTGTGTGTGTGCGCGCGTGCGCACATGCGTGTGTGTTGTAGAAGGGATGTCATGGTGACAGCTGATCATCTGTGACTCTGTAAAGTGTTTGCCATGGACTTGGGGCCTCAGTGCCCAAGGCTGCTGACGAGGTGACTCCACCCATGGCCCCAGGCAGGGCCGCATTGCAATTTGCAATGCCCTAGGCTTTGGCCTTTGCAGCCCCTCAACCATAAAAATATTATAAAAATTATATTCGACAACTGTGTTGGTATAAAAATGAACATACTAATATTATATACTAAAGCATTTTCTTCTATTCAAAAGTTCATTTCTTTTTTCCTTCTGATTTTCAAAGAAATGAAAACAGTTTCATGGGCTCCTACAAGATCATGGGCCCTAGGCACTGCACCTTCAGGGCGCAGTGACGACAGGCCAGGGGATCTTACAACATGCATTAAATTTATGTTAAAAAAAAAAAAACCAAAGCAGGAAAGAACCTGTGCACGTTTATATCCACACAGAGCACTTCAGGAAAGACACAAGAGAGACTGGCAACGGTGTTTGGCTCCAGGAAGGAAAACTGGGTGGCCCGAGGCACGAATGGCAGGGAGTTATTACTGTATGCCCTTTTGTGCGTTTGGAATTTTGTACTGTGTGAATGAATCCCCTATTCATAAAAGTAAATAAATAACAATTTAAACTGTTAGAGGCTTATTCCAAAGCAACAGGAGACTGTTCAACGAAGGTGGAAAAATATGGGCTTTGGAGCCAGAAGTGTGCGGTTTAATCTCAAGCTCTGCAGCTCATAAGTGCCAGGTCAGCCCTGGTGAGGGAGGCCCTGGTGAACCAAGGAGCTTGTCACCAAAGGCCCTTAGCTGGCTCCCTCCACCTCTCTGAGCCTCAGTTTCCTGTTCCCTGAAATGGGGATAGTAACACCTCCCTTGAAAGGTGCTTGAGAGGATTGGCCACGGCTGGCCCAGCACCTGGCCCTGGAGAGTAGGCTCTCCCCAAATGCTCCTTTCCTCCCTTCCCCCCACCCCTAGCGGAGTGAATGTGGGCCAGCAGCAGGGACGTGAATTGCCTCTTTCTCTGGCCAGCACTTGTTTATTCAGGCCACCTTCTGGGGGCTGGCCCATGGCTGTGGGCCTCCTTCTCTCTGTCCGTATACTTGACTGGCTGTTCAGACAGCTGCCTGGCACTTCAGGGAAACTGAGGCTCCAGCTACTCCAGAGATAACAAGTCCTGACGCCTACAAGTGGGTGGAGGCCAAAGACAGAACTGCTTGAAGTTCGGGGGACAGTTAGCGGCTGCCAGGCATGACACCTTGGAAATAAACTCATCAAAAAGGCAGCTCAGACGGTGGCCCGCAGCTATTAGAAAACCTTGGCCGGTTCTGGCCAGTTTGGATTCAATCAGTAAACATTTAGTGAGTCCTCCTACCTACAGTGTGCACGCCCCAGGTTTCAGTTTCTCAAAGTTCAGGCTAAAATACCTTTCAGATTCACCAGTAATCAACAGCATTTAGCAGTCACTAAAGTCAGCTGAAAGAACTTCCTGTAATTAAGAATGGCTAAGTGTCTAATCAGAAGTAAGGCCGGGCAAGTGAATGGGGAACATTGTCACCAAAGGTCAGCTCTGTCTGAATTTGGAGCTTGAGGTGCCTGGGGGGATCCCCAGCATTTCAGGTGAGGTCCAGAAGAAGCCTGCTAGGGATGGGTCCTGGCAGAAGGGCCATGGGGACTGAAGGGCAGATCTGCTATTCCTAACCTGGCTGCGGGGCTCCCTGGAGACCACGTGCCTTTGGGAGGTAGAGAGATTCCATTCCCACAAGAGCCCTGTGGCTGAGAGAAGCCCCAGAAGCCCCAGGCAGAGGCAAAAATGGAGCTTGGCCACGTGAAGAATTCCTGGGAGGGAAGTGGAGCTCAGAATAAGCCATGTTGTTCTAGCAAAGAACAGGGAGATATCTGACACAGGGGACAAGAGAAGGATTCTAGAGTGACAGGTTCCAACTCCAGTCTGCCCAGCCAGCCTGTGGATATTGCTGGCTTCCTGGGGGTGCCAGGAGGGTTTAGGGTGCTTAGGGGTTAACTGCTTTACCACCTGAGATGTATCACCCCAACTAGCCCAGGTAGAGACATTTTTGAATGAGTTCTTCATGTCCCCATGGGTCCCCATGTCCCTTGTATGTATTCAGACACTCTCACTGGTCGGAATTCTTTTGCAGGTCTGACTTAATCCATATTTGCTATAGCCAAAGCCTAGAGGTTAATCCCCAAAATGAGACATAGGAGCAGCTTCCATCTGTGATCATGGCCCAGAGGCATGTGACAGAATTGATCATAAACTCCTGCTTAAAACCCAGAACTCTAATGCTGAAGGCTTTGGAGCCAGGCAATCCTAGGTTAAAATACTGGCTGTACTCTTTCTGGCTGGGTGGCCTCAGGAAAGTTACTTAACCTCTCTGGGCTTTAGTGTCTGGTACACCAATACTTAAAAGATAGACATTAGTATTATTTTATGATAATCATTTATAAAAAGTACTTAGCACATAGCGGGACTTGCCTGGTGGCTCAGATGGCAAAGAATCTGCCTGCAAGGCAAGAGACCCAGGTTCAATCCCTGGGTCAGGAAGATTCCCCTGGAGAAGGGAATGGCTACCCACTCCAGTATTTTTGCCTGGAGAAATCCATGGACAGAGGAACTGGCAGTCTACAGTCCATAGGATCTCAAAGAGTTGGACATGATTGAGCGACTAGCAAGAGCACATAGTAAGCACTATAGACTTGTATGTTAAATAAAATGTTAGGGAAGGAAGGATTGGCATAAAAGAAGAGTAAATAGGAGCGAGTCACATTTTATGCTTTTAAAGATCCCCAGGAAAAAATTCCAAAATCTGCCTTGAACACCCCTTGCAGCAGATCACCATCTTGGTGGTCATGTTCTCTGTTGTCTAACCCGATTCCCTCCTGCTGCAGCTGAGGTCTAAATTTGCCCATCTCAATCCTACCCCAGCTCCTGGGCTCACTCCCACCACAGACCCCTCCCATCCAGCCCCCGAGGGGAGAGGTCCACTTACTGCTTGGGTCCATGGTCCTGCTCACAGCGCCCATCCCAGGGGCAGGCAGAGAAGTTGGTGCCCGCCGTGCGCCACCCGCCCCTCTCTTCTGCCACGGCTAACAGGGCCACCCCAGGGAGGGGGCTGTGCTGCCGCAGCTGGCCAAGGGCCCCCCCTCGCAAAGGGTGGGCTTCAGGGAGAAGAGGGAGGGCCACGTCAAAGCCGGGCCGGAAGGTGTCCACCGTGGGGCTGGCCTCGGCCACCATCGCCTGTCCCAGCTGGAAGATCCGGAGGCAAGGGGTGGGGTGGAGACTGAGGACCAGATGGTTCTTGCCCCCATCCCACTTCGGGGGCACCGGGTGGCACTCTCCCGCAGGGGTGTCGGGGCTGAGGACGAGGATGAGGAGGCAGGCCTCCGTAGCGCTGGCTGTGTGGTAGCGGGAGCCCTCGATGGAAGTCAGGACCTTGCGTGGAGTCTCAGAGATGGGTCCAACCGCCGGGTACACGAACACCTTGAGGCCACCACCTCTGCACCTCGAGGCATCAAAGCAAGCTCCCCGGGTGCAGCTGCCGCCATGGGGGGCTTGAGGAGGTTGAAGGTCGTCTTCCAGGAGCTCCCCAGGCTGGGAGAAACTCTGCAGGAGCTCTGTGTCCAGCCAGTGGGGCCAGCCTTGGGGGGACACTGCCTGGCGTCTGGCGGGCTCTTTCAGGCGGAGAACTGGGAAGACTCTTAGCAGGATGAGGAGCCAGGAGGCCGACAGGGCCAGCCAGAGGGATTTTCTTCTCCATGACTGCATGTGGCCACCCACAGCCAGGGCTGCAGGAAGCAGGGGAAGCCAGGGATTCAGAGTGGGGGCACCTCTGGGATGGGGATCCACCTTCTAGGTCAGCGCCCTCATTGTACAGATGGGAAGACTGAGGCCTATGGAGGGCAAGATCCAACAGCAAGTCACAAGTCACGGGCCAGGGAGGACCCCGCTCTCTGGCCCTGCCTTCTTGTGGTCTGGACTCTGCTTCCTCCGCCTTTGGACAACTTTTGCCCTTCCCAGCAGGGCCCCCTGCCCCTGGGCGCTGCTCAGGGTGATGCAACCCCTGTCCAGACTGCAAGCCAGTGTCCTTCTGCCCTCCTGGCTGCACCCCCTGACCTTGGCCTTGAGGGAGAGGAGGGCGGTCTGCCAGGCCATGGGGGACCCGTCAGGACTCCCACACAAGGCGGTTTGGCCAGGGTGCAGGGTTGGATGGAAGCAGGGCTGGTTTCCCCAATCCTCCCCCTTTCTGAGGAGCTCCTGAGCAGCTCCTGAGCAGCCCGGCCACCCTGTGTCCACTGGCAAGCACTCCTGGACTGAGGGCCCTGTGGCTGGAGCTAAAATTAGACCCTACATCCCATGTGGGCTCTCAGGGTCAGCTGAGGGCAAGGCCTGAGCGCAGCTGGTGCCCCCTGCCTGGGGGGCTGGGAGGGCTCTGAGTCCTGGTCCTCTCCCACCCTGCCGCTCTCCTAGCCCAGGCAGCTCAGTCCATCTTCCCTCCACCTCTAGCAGCTGGTCTTGCACCCTCTGGCTTGGAGCTATCAGGGTGCAGAGGCCGGGGACCCCCTGCCAAGCCCCTGCCCCATGGCTCCCAAGCCTTGCTGTGTCTCGCCTCTCCTCTCGGGGCAGCGTTTGGTCAATCTAGATCTCTTTCCCAGCGGCAGCCTGACTCCTCCCCTGTCAGCTCTGATTGGCTCCTGTCTGGGAGGCAAGCTTTCCACTTAACCCCTTCCAAACCAGTTTTCTGGATTGCTAATAATGATAACCAGCAGGGCCCACAACTCATGGTTGGCCTTGAGCTATTCCAACATCTATCTCATATCAGCATTCCGAGGCCAAGGTTTAATCACTGCCATTTCCTATGGATGAGCAAAGTGAAACTCAGAGAGGGGATGGTATCTTCTAAGGAGACCCTGCTAAGGAGTGGTAGGGTGGGATTTGAACCTTGAGCTCCTGACTAGAGTCCTTAGAGCTTCCCACTGGTCACTGCAGCTGGGGGACTTGCTTCTGGCTGGGATACAGGCTCTCCACGTTTTAACCCCTTCCATCAACAGATGAGATAAGTGAGGCATCAAGTTGCTGCGGGGTGGGTGTGTGATATTGGATAAGGTGCTTCCAACTATTCCCAGGATTGGTCTCTCTTCCTTCAGCCCCTCGCCCTTACCCTCTGCCAATCCAACTCTAGCTCCAGCTTTTTCAGCACCTTTCCTGACAGCTTACACTCAGGCCCATGGGTTAGCCCTTACCTGGAACTGTCGGAAGGGTCTGTAGCACTGGATCCTTGTTCCAGTCCATATGTGGACTGAGGGTGAAGGGTTTTCCTGGTGGCTCAGATGGTAAAGAATTTGCCTGCAGTGCAGGAGATCTGGGTTAGATCCCTGGGTTGGGAAGATCCCATGGAGAAAGGAAATGGCAGCCCACTCCAGGATTCTTGCCTGAAGAATTCCATGGACAGAGGAGCTGCAAACAGTCTGACATGACTAAGTGACCAGCACCTTCTTTTCCCTGAAGGCTCCATTTCCTGACTCTCAATTAATCCACACGCCACTGAGGGTTCCCCCAGCCACCCCCCACCTCTCAGTTCTTGGGTCTGTGCTCTGTGAGGGGAGTCAGGAATGGGTGATGTCACCCACTGGGGAGTCACTGAAGTGACAGACAGACAGACTGGCTCCCAGGAGCCCCAGTCTGACCTGGAGTGGCCTCTGCTTCTCTCTCTTACTGGCTGGACAACGTTGGGCCTCTGTCCCTGCTTCTCTAGGGAGGGAGTAATAATATCCACTTTAAGACCATAGCCTAGTTAAAACCCAGGCCTCCCCTGTGGTGGGGGGGTCCCTCAACAAGTAGCAGTCTCCTGGCTTCTTTCTTTTTTTTAATTTAAAAATATTTACTTAGTTATTTGGCTGCATCAGATCTTCATTGCGGCACATGGGTTCTCCGCTGTGGTGCGGGGTGGCATGAGGGCCAAATAGTTGCTATGCGGGTCTAGTTGCCACAAGTCAACTGGGATCCTAGTTCCCCAACAAGGGGCTGGTCCAGCATCCCTCACGTTGGAAGGTGGATTCTAAACCCCTGGACCACCAGGGAAGTCCTAGCCTCCTGCCTTCTTGCCTTCCCCTGATCGCAGAGGGCTGCTGATGCGATGAGGGAGCCACCACAGGCTCCGTCAGGGGGATGTTAGGGCCTCAGGGGGCAGCCAGCCTGGGGTGAGGCACCATTCACACACTCAAGAATGTCCTCAAAATGGCCCACACAGGGGGACTCTGGCCTCTTCACGCTAAGGGTCAGTCACCAAGTGAGGCGCTGACTTTCCACAGGCATCAGGCTCTCTCCTGCAGCAAGAGAAAGGGGACTTTGCGCTCCCTGCTCCTGCCTTTCACCTTCCTCCACTAACTCCTCCTCCTCCTACAGGGATTAGCCCAAAGCTTCCTTCCTACAGCAAGCTTCCCTGACTCTCCTCCGGCCCTCTTTTAGGTTCTCATGCCGTTCCTGCTCCTCTGTGCCTGTACACACGCATTCATTCATCCAGCAAGTACTTTTTAAAAATATATTTATATTTATTTATTTTGGCTACCTCTGGTCGTAGTTGCAGCACACAGGATTTGTGGTCTTTGGTCTCCACAGAGAGCATGGGGTCAGTAGTTGCCCCTCGGCATCTGGGATCTTAGTTCCCTGATCAGGGATTGAATTTGTGTCCGCTGCATTGGAAGGTGGATTAACCACTGGACTACCAGGGAAGTCCCTCATCCAGCAAACACTTAATAAGTACTAAACACAGGCTAGGTTTTGTGCCAGGCTCTGGAGATATAATTCTGAAGAACAATAATAGCTAACATTCATAGTATACTTAGGGCCATCTGTGGCTCTATGGGTCAGCCCATTTGCTTATTTAATCCTCTCCTGAGGGGGCTTTGAGGGAGATACTATTATTATCCCCATTTTCCAGGTGAGGAAATGGACCCAGGGAGCGCAGGTAACTTCTTTTGGGGGGCCTCGCCCCTTGGTATATGGGATCTGAGTTCCCAGATCAGGGACTGAACCTGCACCTCCTGTGTTGGAAGCAAGGACCTTAACCACTGGACTGCCAGGGAAGCCCCAGCTTAGGTAACTTGCCTCAATTTCCACACCTCAGCCTGGACTTAGACCCAGGCTGTCCATTTCTTTCACCTCTGGACCATTCTAGTTCCTGAGCGAGACAAACATTATGCACTCTCTCCCCCGAAATTCACTGTTCTAGGGAAAGAGAGGTCAGCTACCAGGCAATTACAGGACGAGGGAAGGGGACTCTGGGAGGGCCCAGAGAGGCTGCCTAACACAGCGGGCCAGAAAAGCTGTGTGAGGCAGTGACATCACTGTGGTTGCCTTTGTGGGGACAGACAGGAAACAGCAGAAGTGGAGGCAGGGACATTTTTTTTCTGGGTCACCCCACAAGTCACTCACTCATTCCACAGCTACTTAATGAGACCCTACTCTGGGCCAGGCAGGCCCTCAGGGAGTGAACCAAGCAAAATCTTGCCCTGGTGGAGTTTGCTTTCCTGAGAGGGAAAATCAGCAATAAACAAAACAGACAAGTAACATACCCCACGCGATAGTTGGCAATAGTGCTCTGGAGAAGGGAAGGGCCTGCACTGTTCAATGTTAAAGGCAGGCCTCCATGGGGCCTTTCCTGGTGGTTCAGTGGCTAAGAGTACAAGCTCCCCATGCAGGGGGCCTGGGTTTGATCCCTGGTCGGGGAACTAGATTTCACATGCGGCAACTAAAGTGTTCCCATGTCGCAAGTAAAAGATTCCATGTGCTGCAAGTGAGGCGTGATGCAGCCAAATAAATACATAAATATTAAAAAAAAAAAAAGGCAGGAAAAGCTGACCTTTGAGGTGAGGGAGTAAGCAGAAGGTATTTGTAGGGGAAGGTCATTCCCGCCAGGGCGCAGGTTCTGGTGGGGCCTCTGTCTGCTGTGTGCTTGGTCTGACCTTGTTTTCCCAGCACCGCTGGGACTCCAGGCAAGAGGCTGATTTGGCAGCAGAGACAGAAGCAGGGAGTCTCGTGGGGCCAGGTAAGTCAGGCAGGTGAGCCGTGATGGTGGTTTGGACCAGGGCGACACGGGTGAAAGGAGTAAGAAGCAGTTAGATCCTGGATCTATTTTGAGCCAGGGTGAAACAACGAATGTACTGATGGGTCAGAAGTGAGGTTTGGCCTGAGCCTGAGCCGCAGGCAGGATGGAGCTGCTGTCAACTGAGATGAACTGAGTGGGGAGCCAGTTAGGGGAAGAAGGTCAGGATTTCGGTTCTGAGGCTGAGGGTTGTATCCCATTCATCCTTCTCATTCCCAGCGTTAGTATAATAAATGGCCAACACATGCTTGTTGAATGAGTGAATGAATGGATGATGGACAATGTTGGAAGGGTAGGAGGCCAAGGCCAGCTGGTGAGGGGTTTGTGGGGATACGGCTCTAGCTCCCCTAGCCCCAGCCCTGGGCACACTGGCTGGCTCGTGCCCACACCCACACTTGCATCCGTACACAAGGCCTCTCCTACTTCCATCTCTGCAGCAGGGCTCTCAGGCCAGCTGGGGCCTGAGCTTGGCCAGAAGCAAATCACGCAGTTGCTCTGGGGCTTGGATGGAGGAAGAGAAAGCAGGGCATCCTGCCAGGCAGGACTGCCCTGGGCTTATCCTAAAAATATACCTCTGGGCTCTGCCAAGTGCTCCGGGGCCTCCATCAGGCTCTTCAGTGTTCATAGAAGCCTCCAGGAGTTCCAGTCCCATACCTGGGCTCTG